CGCGCTGCTGGCCACCCACCCCCTCGTGTGTCATGCCGGCCTTCACAGGTGCTCGCTAACAGCACTTGCCCCAACAGTCTGTTAAGCCTATACGGGGGATCTTTGTCTTTGTGCCCACCGATCTAGCGGTACTTTGCAGATCGTCGTCATCAACATCAGCCTCAGCCGTGATCAATCTACCGCTGGATGAAGACCTCCCCCTAGACATCGCCATCTGTCACGGTTTCCGCGATGCAGTAATCCCTCCCGCGCCTCCACATGAGCCGAGTTCATCCGCCCCTGGTCCACGGTGATTCATCCGTTGCTACGCACGACACACGGGCGTGCTTTATACTCTTGCCACGTGGTATCATACTCCAGTGGTTAGGCCGACAAATTCGGCATTTTTGGGATCGACTGATGGCAGTTGAGCCCTGGTGACGTAATATAAATTAACTGCCGATTGGGTTAACTTCTGCAACCCCATCACCTTTGGTTGCAAGTGCAGCTCACCGCTCTTTAGCTGCGTGAGCAAGCTTGCATTGCAGTTGAGAGATGTAGCCAAGTTCAGTTGCGGAACAAAATTGGATGCGACGGGCGTTTATTTTGCGGGGGGGGGGGGGGGGGGGGTGGTGGCTGGGGGAAATCTTAGCTACCTCACCTGGTATTCAGGAGGTCGTGGTTTGATCCCGACCCTGACGCCTGCTGTATATTTGAAATTTGCGTGTCTCTCTCATCATCACCACGGTGGGTAGGAGATGTTAACTACCTCGCCTGGTATTCAGGAGGTCGTGGTTTGATCCCGACCCTGACGCCTGCTGTATATTTGAAATTTGCGTGTCTCTCTCATCATCACCACGGTGGGTAGGAGATGTTAACTCCCTCGCCTGGTATTCAGGAGGTCGTTGTTTGATCCCGACCCTGACACCTGCTGTTTATTTGGAATTTGCGTGTCTCTCTCTCTCATCATCATCACGGTGGCTAGGAGATGTTAACTACCTCACCTGGTATTCAGGAGGTCGTGGGTTCGAACCCGACCTTGACGCCTGCTGTATATTTGGAGTTAACATGTCTCTCTCTCTCTCCCCGTGGCCGCGTGGATTTTTCTCGCGGTCCTCCGGTTTTTCCCTTCCATATTTAGAAACATGCGTTTAGAGTATTTGGCTGCTATAAATTACCGCGTGATAAGCCACTTTGGTGAGCTATCATTTGTGGCCAGGTCGCTTCTGACAAAGAGCTACATAGCTCAGTGGGCCCTACCTGGTCAAATACATTTTTTAGTTTAGGTTAAATCTGTGCCGTCAGTGGCGACCAAGTTGAAAGCCTCCGATTACCGCGATTGGCTACGTACGTTGCGAAGTATGTTCAACATTCGTACATACTTTGATGAACCGATTCAAACACGGGTTGCTTGCCCGGAATCGAAGCTAGAGTGTCAGCGGTGCAAGCGGTGACGGCTCTGCACCCTGATCCCCCTGAGCCCCCCCCCCTACCGAGCCCCCTCCCGGCCACCGCTACATATCCAATGTCCAATGTAGCTGGCTTCCGAATGCATCTTGCACGCTTTCTTTTCACGGTCGATTTGAACCAATTGTTCATAATAGAGGTTTTTGGGTATGATCGCGATCTAACTCAAAAAAACTCTATTGTGGATGATATTGGTTGCGAAAGCCTACGTGGTAAACTAACAAAAAATGTTGCATTCGTGGCTTTCAGCTTTTAATGGGACCCTGCACACTTGCGTGTATGCGTGTGCGTAGGTGGGGCAGTGGTCAGTGTCGCTGCGCTACGGGGTTCGATTCCCGCTCACGGTCAACACTAGTCACGATTATTTGAACCGGTCCTGTGCCTCCCCTAGGGCGACTCTGCCTCAAATGAGTACCTGGTTGCGGTGTGTAAATATTGACACTAGGGAGGCAAAGGCGGCTGGATGCGGTGCTGGCCACCCACTCCCTGGTGTGCCGTTCCGGCTTTCATAGGTGGGCTCGCGAGCACCACTCGCCCCAACAGTCTGTTAAGGCTATGGGGGGGGGGGGGTAATCTTTGTCCGTATATATATTTTTATTTTGTTCTACCGTGCGTACACAGAGTAAACATGTGCGTAATGACCAATGATGGCTTCCGCACGAAGTGGCATTTACGGAACGAGGGTCTGAAATGCGCGTGCTTTTGAATGAGGTAAAAGCCGCTCATTGGAAAATCGCTGGGTCTTTACGAGCAGGTGGCCGCCCCTGTGTGTGTGCGCGCGCGGAGGGAGCGGGGGGAGGCATTGTGGGCTCGTCCGTGCCTGCTAATTGCCGCGGTGCATCACAGTCGCGGCCGGGAATATGCGCTGCCAGGTAAATGTCTTGTCGGCGTGAGGTGGGCGCACGGAGCGCACGGGGCGCGGAGGGACGCGAGGTTTTTTTTTTTGTCGACAACTCCTCCTCCGGCTTCGCGCGCGTGTGAAAGACTTTTGGACGATGCTTTGTGTTGCGTATTGTGCACCGCAAGAGCAGTGCACTTGGGCCATTATTGATGCTCCAAGACTTTCACTTGCTGCCGGGAAGAACACCTTGTGCTGTTTCTCAACGCAGCGCGTGTCACTTTGCTGTCACGAGCAAAATCACCGTCCGTGCGAGTGACCCTATAGCCATGGCAACAAGTGAGAGACACTTGGTCTGGTTGAGTGTTTTCACCCAGATTTCGATGTAAAAAAAAAAAATCTATCATTGATATTTGTCTCGCATCAATACATTGCCCGCATATAGCTACCTTGCACGTAAGACACGATAAAACATCTGTCGCAATTTGAGCTCTGTTGCTAAGAAGAATTTTAACATTTTCTCTTGGTTATAGCAAGACTGCTTACGCGTCAGGCCACGGACCTATCGACCACTCAACGTGTGAAGACACACGTGTGCCATTGGTCGGGTGGTTAACATCATCGTCGTTTGCCTCTTTCACGAGAACTGGGTGTTTGATGACAATGCAGGAATCGCCCGCTATACACGAGGGTTGCGTTTCCTGGGGAAATGACACTTTATTCGATATTACTAAAAGCGAACTAATTCCCCGCAAGGCGTTATGTTATTGCTCGCTGACTTTTGTGTGTGGAAAAAAAACTGCGTGTCTGAAAGTGTACGAAAATACGTATGATTATAAGTTACGATACATTTAACTCATAATAGATACAAATAGTTTGATCAGACTTGTCAGAGTTGAAGGGCTTGCTGATCGAGGTCTATTGGGGTGAGCGGAGGAAGCTTTCCTCTCTTCTGGGCTCTTCTCTGGACCTTCTTGCTTGATCGCAGAGCATTTAAAAAGAAATCTGCCCAAAGACAGCTAGGGCAGCATTCTTCTTCAGCTCCTTGTACAGCTCCTTGTAGCAGTGATTGCCAGTTACTTTTGGTGGTGGTGGCAGTGGCATCGTTTCATCAGCCTCTACCTCAGGTCGTCGTTTCTCCAGCTGCCTCGGATCCTCGCTTGACAGCTCCTCCTCAACATGGGACTCGCAAGCAACTCCACCACATTGTCTGACTCCACCACATTAATCTCTGCCGGCAGCCAAACGGTTGGATGAATTCTCATGATTTCAGGGTTACGATTCGACCCCAGAAGAATTGATTGTCCGTCTTGTTTCTACCCTCATTGGTATTGTTTCTTGCGTTAGTTTGTTCAGTCAAGCCTGAATGTAGCAGCGTACGATTTGCGTGTGTAATTAATACTTTCCAGCGTTGTGATTCGATCCGCTTTTCATGAGTATCAGAATAAATTTTAGTCGATGGAAGAAAAAAAAAAACACTTGGGACTTAAATGTTTCACCTAATTTGGTTTCGCGAGCTCAAAGCGGCACTTGCAACAATGGTCTCCATCGCTCACTCAAAATTGCGTCAAATTAAGTTTCTGCTAAGAATTCAAGTTCTCGGCTGTAATGGGCATTTAATAAATTAACAAAACTACTTTCAAATTGTGCATTGCAGAGCGGGCTGCTTCGCAAACAAGCGATGCGATGATGGAGTGAAGCACTTTGCTTGGGTCTCTTGATGTTTTAAAAGAGCGCTTTTAATCTATGAGCGTTAATCCCTCAACCGACCATATTTCCCCGGCTCTTGTCACTTTTCAGTTTCTCCGCTCCGCTGCGCGCTTATCGCCGCGATCGGTCCGATGCGCAGCGCGTGAAAAACATTCGTCCACCGAGTCGCTGCCACCTCAAGTCATTGATGAGCCCACGTCGTGAGCTACTCATTGAAACGTATTTATAAACAGACGTCCCTTTCTGTGTCTCCACCTGCATGCTAAATATTTTGTTAGCCTCATCGGCGGCCTATTATGGGCCTTCCAGGCCGATGTTATCCGGCGGCAGTGTTTGTTCAAGCGGGCAGGCCGTTGACCGATTTCGCCTTTTTACGTCTCGGCAGCAGAATTCTCTTGCCGGTAACTTCCGGCAACCCGGCTGTGTTCATGTAGCAAGCTTGCCTCTGCTGATGAGTCCTCGAAGCCTGAGACCCCCATCCGGAGTTGTTTGCATGCCTCAGCAGGTGAGGCATTGCTTGACCATTCTTCCCGCTTAGGATGTCACTCGCCACTGATGTTGGCCGCGGTCCAGGAATCGGACTCGGGTCGCCGGGTTCGTAGTGCAGGTGTGCTAACTGCTGTGTGCCAGCGCTCCATGCCGCTGTGTCATAAACTTGTCCTAAAAGCCCATCCCTGTCATTCGTAGTCGTCGCAATCCGCACGTTGTTCAACCACCACCGCGCACACTGCTGGTCCACAACACTTCTCGTTCTGCTTGTTTCCCTCGCGTTGTCACACTTTGGAAAATCCCTCCATTTTTGCCGTCATCGTCTTCTTTACCCCACGCAATTCAAGGAACGCGGCAACCCCCGTCCGCCGCAGCTCCGACGGGCGCCGTTTGTTGCCGGAGGAATCGCTCGCTCGACGCGCATCGGAGCACGCGACTCTTGAGGAACGTCGCCGCAACGGCGGAGTGGCCCGCCGTCGTAACGCTCAATCCCTGGTCGCGTGTCGTGCGTTCGCAGGGTTCATGCCGCCGCACATGCCGGGACCCCCGCCGCCCATGGTCGTGCCACCGATGGACAGGTAAGAAACGCGCGCGGGTGTGGGCTCGCGGTGACCGCTTGGAGCAGAAGTGCGCGGTTCACATCTGGCGGGCCGCCCCGGTTAATACCGCCGGGCGTTATTAACCGTAAACAAAAACAAAACAATGCCGTCTGCTTTCACGGCGGGCGTTGAAAGATCCCGTGACGTCATTCGAAGAGAGCTAGGCCATGGGGTACCGACGTTGCCAAATTTGCAAAAATGAAATACATATGACTCGATTGGGATTACACGGAGCAACATCGTCCCCCCCACTGAGAAACTACCGCGGACTCTGTTTGTAACACACAGCAGCGCCTTCCATCGTACGTGTGTATTTTTTGTGTTTAGTTGGTTTTCCTGCCCCCCCCCGCACCTCCGATCATTGCGTATGGTGCGAAGAAAGTTCAACACGTATGTATGTTGAACTTCTTTCGCACCGTACGTAGCCAACCGTGCTAATTGGAGGTGGTGATAGCCTCGCGCAATACGAATGGCTCGAAGACCAAATGACTGAGTGACTCTTAATTCATATTGAGTGCCACTTTTGTTTTCGGATTGCGCTCGCTGGTTAACAACCCGAAAGTTAAACGGAAGCTGTGGCAAAACATACTTTCAAGGTCTGTCTTATAGCTGCACTATCATCGGCTTCTTTTGCGTTTACAGGGGCCGTGTGGCTTTTCTCTTGAGACAGAGATAGTCGCGCAAGTTAAGAGAACATTATTTATCGACCGAGCATTACGGTGACCTGTACGGCTGTTGGCTAACCTGAGCTCATAGTGGAAATTACACATTGCTATGTTGAGCCAGTCGAAGAGTTGATGAGAGGAGGTGCATGTAAGATACACCTGTCAATTGGCATCATGCTGGACTGTTCTAACTGATAGAGCAGATAGGCCGTACTGCAGCCAGCTAATCAAATTGCCCAATTATCGGATGAAAGATTTTATATTGTCCTTGTTTGCATGAACTCCATCGGAAGAAATTGGCTCTATTAAATGCATATTTATAGAGCAATCGAGGAGGATTTCTTCGGACAAAGCTTCAAATATACCGTGGATACAAACGCACAGAATATCCGCTTATTAAATGGGCACACATACCAGGTTGTGTTTTTAAACGATCAAACGCCGTCAGTCATCGGCAGATTCGGCAGCTGCGATGGTAATTGTCAAGGCCCCCGTGATCTTTTGGGCGCCACGGTTGGCGAGATGTTAACTACCTCGCCTGGTATGCAGGAGGTCGTGGGTTCGATCCGGACCATGATGCCTGCTCTATACATTTGGAGTGTGCGCGTTCTCCGCCGTGGTCGTGTGAATTTTCCGGCATGAGCTGTCGTTTGTGTGGCAGGTCACTTCTGAAAATGAATTTTTTATCGAGAGTGCACAGCTCCGCAGTGGCTTTCTAACATCGGAAGGAAGAGCTTTCCAGACAGCCGCAGAAGCGTGTCTGAGAGCGCCGCGTGATGTGGTAACCACCGTCTTTGTGACCCTGCTCCCTTCCCCCGCCCGCGATCTCAACGAAAATGAATGGCGGTTTTCCCCGGGCGACCACCTCACCCCGCGCCGCTGCGTCTGCTCATGTCCTCTCTTTGTGCCTCCTCAGCGGGCCCCCGCCAGGCTTCCCGAACCGCCCCCCGCCCATGCCGTTTGGCTACTCCACCGTCGGTGAGTTGGCCCGACCGAGAGGCCCTGGGGCTGCCCGCTCGACTCCTCCGTGGCCCCATTGCACCCGGGCGGACGAAGCCGTCGGGGCGTTTACGCCGTTCGGCGACGAGCAGGGCCGCCCCCCCCCCCACTCCGGCCCCCTTTCCCCGGCATGGAGGGAATTGCTTGGTGTCACGAGGGGCTCCGGTGCCGCGCGCTCGTTTCCCCGTGGTTTTTGTGGCCGGCTGTATTTGTGCGCCCGGTACGGATGCGTGACGCAGAGGTCGCAAACGGGTTTTGATTCCTTACCCGTACCCGTACCCGGCCGCACCAGGGTCGCAAATGGGTACTCGTACCCGTACCCAGCCGGGTACGGGTACCCGTTCCCTACCCATACCCTACCCGAAATGAGTGACAAACGGTTACTCACCAGTGACTCACGGCCTACCCGTACCCGGCCGCACCAGGGTAGCCGGGTATCAGGTAGGGTACGGGTATCGGGTATCCGGTTGCGACCTCTGACGTGACGTCGCAACTCCCTTGCGACGCGTTGCGTCGGCAAGATCTGGGCGGTGTGGTTGGTATCTGATGGTTACTCTCACGATGGTGGTGGTGATGATTGCGCTATGAATGAAGATGCCACTTATGATACCGTTGATGCCGCTGCTGCTGCTGCTGATGATGATGATGAAATTGGTGGTAATGCTGGATGATGCTTATTGGAGATATTGCTTGTGCTGCTGATTATGATAATGCAGATGCTGATTTTGCTGATGCTGTTGCGGCTGATGATGATTCCCCTAGTGTTAATAATGATGGCGGTGTCAATGCTGCTGATGCTGATAACGATGATGGAAATGATTTTCTACCACTCCCAGTATTACTGATGGAAATGGTGCTCATGATGATGATATCGACGACACTGCCGATGATGACACTCATGACGACGATGATGGTGACACTGCTGCTGATGCCACTGGCGACCCTGAACCTAACGATGCCCTGACTCCCCCCTCCTCCACCCCCCCCACCCCACCACCGCCCCCCAGTCTCGTACCCGCCCGTGTCTGTCCCCGCGCCCTCGTGGGGCCCTCCGGCCGGAGCGTCCGTCGACAAACCGGGCCCCATCCAGGGCAGCGCCATGGTGGTCGTGGGTGGCCCCGGTGGCCCCGCTGGCGGCGGCCCCGCTGGCCCCGGCGGTGGCCCCGGTGGGAACCCCGGCGGAGGGGTGGGAGGGATCGGAGGCGGCGGGGGAGGCCCGGGAGGCCCCGGAGGCCTGGGCCCGCCCGGCGGAGGGGCATCGCCGTGGGACCGCGAGCGGTTGACCACGTCCCGGGACGGACACACGCGCAGTCCGTCCGTCAGCAGCTACGTCAGGTGAGCGCACACGCGCAGGAGGAGAGGGGGGAGTAAGGGGTGAGGGGGTGGCGCTGGCGAGGTGGCACCGGTGAGATGGCAACGCCCGATCATCCGGTGGATGCTACTTGAACTAAAACTAAACTATTTAGATTTTACCAGGTTAAGGTCCACTGAGCTCATGTGGCTCTTTTTCAGCAGCGATCAGGGCATCACAAATGATAGCTCAACGAAGTGGCTTTTCATCGTGTGGACCAGTTATAGCAGGAGGCAAATACTCTAAAACGCACGGTGATTATAAATGTGGAGGGAAATATCGGAGGAGCCGGAGAAAGGTGCACGTGACCACGGGTAGAGAACACGAACACTCAAAATATACAGCAGGCGTCGGGGTCGGGATGGAACCAGCACGACCTCCTGCATACCAGGTGAGGGAGATAACATCTTGCTCAAAGAGTTGAGGCTTCTAACATTGAAACAGGGGCTGTTGGGCAGCAGCAGCTGCAACTTGATTATGTCAGTGTTGCGGTTCGTTCAAAATGGGATAATGTCTCTTTCCCAGGAGGTTCCTAACGGCCGTGTCATACACACGGTGCCGGCACAGCTGAGATCCCAGGTTTTTCATCTCAGAGTTTTCTCACGTGGACGATGCACGCGCAGCTAGGCCGTGCCGGATCGTTGGAAGTTCATGACGGCCACGTCGGAGACACTGAGCAGGCACCGTTCATCCTGGGATCTCCCGTGGCCGTTTCGTAAATACTCGAGCGAGCACAGCCGAGATCCCCCGGGGGGAAGGGGGGGTCTCCCAGTCGGGTCTCAACGGCTGTGCCAGAGACACTTTGACGCGGTGCTGGTGAAGCAGCCCCCCCTGAGTTCAAAGGACCTCATCGCTTGTTAAATCGCATTTGCGTTTGTGTAGTTTGCCAACGTTCGTGGTTCACACCTACCGAGCAATCTGCGGTCATTTTGTCAATTTCATCGGGCGGCTATGCTCACCAATCGCAGCTCGAAAAGTGCTCCCGGACAATGCTAATATTAGACCTTTGTGGTTTTTGCTTTTCTAAACCACTGCCAGATGTGTTCTCGGAACATTTGATTAACATCAGGTACATTGTTTGATTACTTTAATCGCTCTTCACGCATTTTGCCACTCAACCAGTGACAGCTCGGTCTGTTCTGCTTGCCAAGTATCAATGCCCCTGGGTTGATGTCCTTAAATATGCAGTGGAGTCGCTAAAAATAGACCTCCCATGGGAAAACATTGGGGGGGCAGTTCCACGATGAATGACGCCGTATAAAATGAAAGTGTTATTATTAAGGGGGTTACATTTGGGACACTGTCAAGATGTTGGTTATCGTCGTTATGATCATGACGTGGCTCTTGACGTGGGCCTACCATGTTGACCGATGAGCACCACTTCTATCTTCTTTCGCGTGGCATTTTTGGGGATGGCGACAGATTGCGAATTGACGTCGAGAATCGACATCCCACGCGCCTGCTTCAGGAGCAGCCGCGTGGGTTTGTTTACGATCGCCGTTGAACGATCCGATTGGGGCAGCCGTCCCCCGCTAAGTTGCACGGTCTGAGATGTCGCGCGGCAATCTCACGCACACCGGGCTCTCGTTCACTTAGCACCGTCACCCGGGCATCGTTTGTCCGACTTGTTGACAAAGCAGAGACGCTCACGATGTACCGCGGTGTCGGACGTACCCAGACGTAGCGACGACTCCTTCGTGCCACGCCTGGGACTTTGACTCGCTCAGCCATCGCGCAACCATATTTTTACTCAACTTTACAAGCCGCACGTATCTTCAAGATGAGTTGTTTACGTTTGGCTCGGAGATCGCCTCCTTCGTGAACTTGCTCAGACAGATGACCGCCCCGCTGCCGGGCACCACGGTGGCTAGGAGATGTTGACTCCCTCGCCCGGTTTACATGAGGTCGTGGGTTCGATGCCGACCCTGAAGCCTGCCTATTTGGAGTTTGCGCGTCTCTCTCCCCATGGTCGCGTTGATTTTTCTCCATTGTCCTTCGGGTTTTCCCCTCCACATTTAGTATCAACATCACGCGTTCAGAGCATTTGGCTTCTGCTCTAAATTTCCACGACGATAAGCCACTTCGTTGAGCTATCATTTGTGATGGCCGAAAAAGAGCTCTATAGCTTAGGTGGGCCTTCCCCGGTAAAATTTTAACATCGTTTGGTTTTATTGTAAAATAACAATACCTTACTTATTTGGACAGCGGCTCCTGGCCCCCCGAGCGGTTCTCCCAGCGCAGTGCCACCAGTTGTCTTTTGTTCGTGCGAAAGCCATTTCGAGGTCCCCAGCTCGCGGTTTTTACCGACGTTTTTCACGAGTTTGTACAACAGAGCTTCGTATCTTTTTCCCCCCCCCCCCCCACCAAATTTGTATCCCCATCGTGCTGTTGGGTATTGACGTCGTAAGCCGCGTGGTAGCACAAACCCCCATCGCGTTAGAGAATAACGCGAGGGGTGTCCAACAGGAAGTGGACACCACGGAGCTGCCCCCTGAGATCCTTTCAAGTGACCTGAGTGATCTTCTTGGTTCTTTCAGGTAAAGTCACGTAGAAGGAAAATAATAAAATAATAAAAATAAAACATAATAAAATAAGTCTTCTCGACAGACCTGTTCTCCACCTGAAGACGGCTGCTTGCGTTGTGGCCAAAACGTCGTGAGAATTATTTTATTATGTTTTATTTTTATTATTTTATTATTTTCCTTCTACGTGACTTTACCGAAAGAACCAAGAAGATGAATCCCTGCAGTCACGAAAGCTTTAAATCGAAATTTGACCTGACTGACCTCGGGTCCCACGCACGACGGTCAAACCGCCGTTCTTAATTCACAACGCTGGAAATTCGACAACGTGAACCAAATTTACTACGGCGGGCATTGTGTGCATTGTCACTGGGTTTGTGACTGGGTTCAAGAGCATCGACTCAATCGACTTGAGGGCCGAGTTCAAGTTCATTTATTAGGTATAGCCCTGTGAGCCATTCGGCTCTTGAATCGGGTGCAACCGCAACAAACAAAAACATGAACAAAAAACATCTTAAAGTGAATATGTGACTAGGTGCAAACAGAAAATCCAAGAAAAGACAGCAAAATATTGCAGAAAAAAACACCGTACACCAACGCTGTGTGCAAAAATCCCAGTGGGATGCAAGTCAAACAACAACAACAACAACAACCACAAGACAACTTAGATTAAGGCCATCAGTCTATCTCTGTACTACAACAAACAAACATGGCTAAACCAATACACTTTTCGAAATCACTAAAATAAAGCCATGAAAGCAATGAAAAAGCAATCATAGGAACTGTGACGGAATTTTCACAATAAATGGCATAAACAACATGTACCACCAAAACCCTGCAGCCATAGCTGGCTGCATGAGTCACTCCACAACAGCAGCCCCTCTGGGTTCGAACCCAGGTTTCAGCGGTCCCAGGCCGCACCTTGTTCATCTCCGGACGACGACGACGACGGTTGACCCGTCACAATGTTTGTGTACCTATCGACCGCAAGCGGGACGGGGGCGATGCTTTGCGAGCCTGGTCCCTGACTGGGACGCGAAGCGTTATTTGCGTGCCTGTGGTTGCGAATCGCGAATTGACAAATGACGTCAATGTCTCGCACCGCCGCGACTGCAGCAGCCACCCCCGGCGTTAGCCTGCGCGCTCATGCTGCAACAAGGCCCTGGCTCTACCATTTGTTTGCACCCGAAACTAACCGAGCACTATTACTATTACTCCCCGGTGTGTGCGTGCGTGTGTGAGCCCGTATATTTTTTTGCGTATTTAAGCGAGCGTATCAACGCCCACGTCGCTTGCGTGTCGTGGTTAACGGCGATTTGCTCATGCAATTTAGTTGTTTGCGCACAAATAATTTGATTTAATAGGCGGTCACCTGTACGGTGACCGCCGCTGACGGCAGGCGCGCGACCGTGAGTGTTTGTGGGTGAGTGTTAGTGGGTGAGTGTTAGTGTGGGCGTGAGTGTGTGTGTGGGTGTGAGTCTTGGTGGGGCGTGAGTGTGTGTGTGGGTGTGAGTCTTGGTGCGGGCGTGAGTCTTGGTGTGGGTGTTAGTGTGGGTGTGAGTGTGTGTGGGTGTGAGTCTTGGTGTGGGTGTTAGTGTGGGTGGGTGTGAGTCTTGGTGTGAGTGTTAGCGTGGGTGTGTGTGGGTGTGAGTCTTGGTGTGGGTGTGAGTCTTGGTGTGGGTGTTAGTGTGGGTGTGAGTGTTGGTGCGGGTGTGAGTCTTGGTGTGTGTGGGTGTGAGCCTTGGTGTGGGTGTTAGCGTGGGTGTTAGTGTGGGTGTGAGTGTGGGTGTGAGTGTGTGTGTGGGTGTGAGTGTGTGTGTGAGTGTGTGTGGATGTGAGTCTTGGTGTGGATGTGAGTCTTGGTGTGGGTGTTAGCGTGGGTGTGTGTGTTAGTGTGGGTGTGAGTGTGTGTGGGTGTGAGTGTTGGTGCGGGTGTGAGTGTTGGTGCGGATGTGAGTGTGTATGGGGGTGAGTGTTGGTGCGGGTGTGAGTGTTGGTGCGGGTGTGAGTGTGTGTGGGTGTGAGTGTTGGTGCGGGTGTGAGTGTGTGTGGGTGTGAGTGTGTGTGGGCGTGAGTGTGTGTGGGCGTGAGTGTGTGTGGGTGTGAGTGTGTGTGGGTGTGAGTGTTGGTGCGGGTGTGAGTGTTGGTGCGGGTGTGAGTGTGTGTGGGTGTGAGTGTTGGTGCGGGTGTGAGTGTGTGTGGGTGTGAGTGTGTGTGGGTGTGAGTGTGTGTGGGTGTGAGTGTTGGTGCGGGTGTGAGTGTGTGTGGGCGTGAGTGTGTGTGGGCGTGAGTGTGTGTGGGTGTGAGTCTTGGTGTGGGTGTTAGCGTGGATTGCGCCGAGTAAAGGGGTCGTCACTCGCGCTAAATAGCGGAACCGGCGACTCAGGATTTAATTGCGTGAGATAATTTAATAATATTAGGGGGGCATTTGCGCACCCGTATTATTTTTTGTCAAATCTGCCCCCCCTCCCCAAGCCCTCACAATGCATTTACATAAAGCGTTAACAACCGCCCGACTATTTGATACACAATGTAAGCCAATTTATAGCACCATTTGCCAGTGTTTTAATGAAATAATGAGCCCAATTAAGGTTTCCGTTTGCAGAGATAATTTAAAAGTGTGGAAAATGGGGTAATTGCTTCCACAAAAGCGTCATTTGCTGGGGTTGACGGTGGTGATGCGTGTGCGCGTCTGCGTGCGTGTGTTTTTTCCTCGGAGTGCCTCTTCCAATGCATTAAGTGCTGCCTATTGTTCTGCGTGTGTGCGTGTGTGCGTGCGTGCGTGTGTGCGTGCGTGTGTGCGTGCGTGCACGTGTGCGTACACATGCGCGTGTGCGTGTGTGCGTGCGTGCGTGTGTGCGTGCGTGCACGTGTGCGTACACATGCGCGTGTGCGTGTGTGCGTGCGTGCATGTGTGCGTGCGTGCACGTGTGCGTACACATGCCCGTGTGCGTGTGTGCATGCGTGCGTGTTTGACGAGCAGCGCTTCCCGCTGACGACCACCACCAATGAGGACTATTTGAACCGGTCCTGGGCCTCCCCTAGGTCGACTCGGCCTCAAATGAGTACCTGGTGCGGTGTGTAAAAACATCGCCACTGGGGAGACAAAGGCGGCCCGGCGTGGTGCTGGCCACCCACCCCCTCGTGTGCTGTGCCGGCCTTCATAGGTGCTAGCTAACAGCACTTGCCCCAACAGTCTGTTGAGGCTATACAGGGGATATTTGTCTTTGTGACTGGCAGCAACGATTCAACCTCCCAACCGAGCGCTTTCATGGACTGATTCACAACCGATTGGTTTTCTTAGTTGGGCCATGTAATTCTTCTTCTTGCGTACGGTTGATGTGGGTGCAAAGCAACAACTACAATTTCAAATTCAAGTGGTCAAGCCAGACAACCATTTAATGATCCGGTCAAATTGATGTTACGTGTGCAAGCGGGGGGCGCCGCAGTGGCGAGATGTTAACTCCCTCGCCTGGTATGCAGGAGGTTGTGGGTTCGATCACGAACCCCGATGCCTGCTGCTGTATATTTGGAGTTTGCATGTTCTCATTGCTTTCCTTGTTATCCCGCACCTCCAGTTAGCACGGTGGGCTACTTGCGTTGCGAAAGAAATTCAACATACCTACATGCATTTCTCCTGTTGTGTATTTTTCTTTCACGTGCGATTCGAATCGCTGTCACTGCGAGAAGGCCCTTGCGGTGACAGAAGTGGTTTGTGTGTGGTGAAGCTGGAGGCATGTACTGTGTTCTGGCCAAGGAAGCTGCCCTCTAATACTCGATGAGAGCAAATAGGACATGTGCAGCGAATTTGTACATGTATTTTAGGCGATTCGTTTACCTTTTAAAAATGGGATCTTTTTGCCAGTATCAAAGTATGAAAAAAATTACCCTTTCTGTGTGTCACTCAAACGAGATGTTATCTGCCTCGCCTGGTGTACAGGAGGTCGCAAGTTCGATCTCGACCCTGACAAATGCTGCAATATTTGGAATTTGCATCTTCTCCCAATGGTGACATGGATTTTTCTCCTGGTCCTCCGGTTCTTCCATCCACATTTTGAAATATGTGCGCTTAGAATATTTGGCTTCTGTGTATGTCTGCAAGCTCGAAACTTTCACGTGATAATGTGCTTCGTTGAGCTATAATCTGTGGTCGGGTCACTTCTGATAAATAGCTATGGAGCTCATTGGGCCTTTCCCGGTAAAATAAAAACTAAATATATATTTAAGATATAACTTCTCAAGCCGAGCTATAAATGCTCTGATACATGTGACATTATCTTTGCACTGTCCGCCTTTTGGCATTGTTCTCTACATCATTAGACCTCCTTTGCCAGTACCAAAATATAATAATAGGGGTTTTTCCCCTTTTTTCTGGCAACAAAACTGAAACCTTTTTACGAGGATTCATGTCTGCATTAACCACAATACTTGCGGTCAAAATGCAAACAAAAAACACACTCTGGTCGAGCACCGTTTGAGACGATGCTCAAAAGAAAGCTGTCTCTGGTGTGGACCAATCAGTTTCAAGGACAATGCATAAATTATCAGAGTGTGATGAATGTAATGCACCCGGGGGCCTTTCCCCAGTGCGAGGCCTCGCGGTTGGCAAGGCGCCGTACAAACCGGAGTAGCGAGCCGTGTCCGGCCCCGTCGCCTCTCGGTTCCCCCACGCCAGAGGTCGCAAACGGGTTTTGATTCCTTACCCGTACCCGGCCGCATCAGGGTCGCAAATGGGTACCCGTACCCTACCCGAAATGAGTGACAAACGGTGACTCACCAGTGACTCACGGCCTACCCGTACCCGGCCGCACCAGGGTCGCAAACGGCTAGGTAGGGTACGGGTATCGGGTAGGGTACGGGTATCGGGTAGGGTACGGGTATCGGGTAGGGTACGGGTATCGGGTAGGGTACGGGTATCGGGTAGGGTACGGGTATCGGGTACCCGGTTGCGACCTCTGCCCCACGCCCGCTGCCGCGAGCCAACACGCCGGCGAGCATCTACGAGGGGCAGCCCTGCAATTGCCCGCTCGCTCCACTGCTGAGGGAGTTCTGGAGCGCACCGTGAGAAGAGGAGGGGGGTGGGGTCCCCCTTTTAGAGCAGCGGTCCTCACAAAGGAAATTTACAATTTCAAACAGCTGGTAGTGGATTGTAGTGGTCCGATAAATGTTTGGAGGTTGGGAAGTGGGTCCGCACACTCAAAGTTTGGGACCCGCTGCCCTAGAGGGTGCTGTGGCCTAGTTGCCGACCGTCCCACGCTGGGCATGTGTCTCGGAAGAGGTTGGCTCACCCACACGCAACCCACCTGTTCGACTAATCTGGGCAGCGGCCTTAGGCCAACGTATCGTGGTAATCTCAAAGTCATCGACGGAGCGAAGCCCACAGGGGCCTGCCCGTCATCACCGCGTGCCTGGCCGTCCCTCACCGTCGTCTTTTCCCCCCCCCCCCCCTACCCCACCACCACCGTGGGGCCCGGCAGCGAGGACGAGCGCTTCCGCTACTGGGAGCGCGAGACGCGCGAGTTCGGGCGCGAGCGCGAGATGGAGCGCTCGTACGAACGCGAGCAGCAACAGCAGCAGCAGCAACACAACAGCAACAGCAGCAGCAACAACAACAGCAGCAACAGCAGCAGCAGCAGCAACAACAGCAGCAGCAACAACAACAACAGCAGCAGCAGCAACAGCAGCAGCAGCAGCAGCAGCAGCAGCGTGAGCACCGGGAGCCGCCGGCGCGTGAGCACCGAGATCACCGCGGCGACGTGCGGGAGAGGGAGCACCGCGAGCGCAGCTACGACCGCGAGCGGCGGCACGGCAGCCGCGACAGGGGCGGCGGCGGCGGCGGCGGCGGCGGCGGCGGCGGCGGGGGCAGCCGCGACACCGAGGAGCGGCACCGCGACAGGCGCCACCGCGACAAGGATGACGGGGGAGGAGGAGGGGGAGGGGGCGGAGTGGGAGGAGGCGGAGGCGGCAGCAGCGCCGGCGGTAGTGGCGGCAGCAGCCGACACAAGTCGTCCCGCAGGTGAGACGGGGCGGGAGCGAGTGGGGCCTGGGCCTCTTGCTGCCGTGGCTGCCCCAGCTTTTCACTGGGGCTGTCGTTGTTGTCGTTGTCGTTGTTGTCGTTGTTGTTGTCGTTGTTATTGTTGTTGTCGTCGTTGTTGTTGTCGTCGTTGTTGTTGTTGTCGTTGTTGTTGTCGTCGTTGTTGTTGTTGTCGTCGTTGTTGTTGTCGTTGTTGTCGTTGTCGTTGTCGTTGTTGTTGTTGTCGTTGTTGCTGTCGTTGTCCGTGCTGGGCCCTGGTTGGTTGTTCCCGGGCTGTGCTGTCGCTGCTCTGTCTCTCCTCTCGCCCGTGTTTCCCTGCCCTGACCGTGCCCCATACCATCCAACAAGTCCCCACCCCATAAATCTTGACTTTCGTGACTGCAGGAATTCATATTGTTTGGGTCTTTCGGTAAAGTCACGTTGATAGGTTCAAAGAAAATATAATTTTTTTTGCAAAAAAACTACGACGTTTCGATCACAACACAAGCGTTTGTCATCGGGAAGAAAAAAGAGGGGGAAAGCTGCTGGGGCAGACTGTTTTAAAGGATTAAAATGGGTTGAGCCCAAGTGTCATAAACGAAGTGGGCGGGGCTAAATATGTTAATGTGAGATATGAGCATGTCAATGTGAGAGATGAGCGTGTTAATGTGAGAGATGAGCGTGTTAATGTGAGAGATGAGCGTGTTAATGTGAGAGATGAGCATGTCAATGTGAGAGATTAGCGTGTTAATGGCGGATCGCAGAGCAGCAAAGTCGAGCTCTGCGAGCGAGGTGGCTGTGTTTGTGTGGGAAGTTTAACCTGTTCATGTAAAATCAGAGAGCCGAAAAGAACAACTGACATTGGAAGGTGGCAGTTATGACTTAAACTGGTTGATAACGTCCTTCCAATGATTGCTCAGTGTGTACCCATCTTCTCGATTGAAATTGTGTCTGTATATGTGGATGGCTTCATGAACGAATCTTTGTTGATAGTCGGTGGGTTTGCAGAGTACCTTCGTCTTAGAGAAATCAATTTGGTGTGAGCCCACCGCATTAAAACAATGATCAGCCACGGCCGAGGTATTGGTCTTACCGTGTTTCAGATCTGCCTTATGTTCACGAACACGGTCCGAGACATGTCGCTTAGTTTCCCCAATGTAACTACTGCCGCAGACAGCTGAGTTTGTAGACACCGGGATATTGCATGTCAGGGATCACATCCTTGACAGATGGGATCAGATCACGAATTTTATGTACTGTGTAAAATCGAACCTGGATCGTGTGTTTGCTCATGATTTTGGAGATATTTTTGGTGACCATTGCTATGTATGGCAAAGAGATTGTTTTGATTGGGTCTTCAGATGGTTCTTTCCCAACGGTTCTGGGAAGGATGATGGTGGGAGTCAGGTTTTAGGTAGGCATCCGTGTGGGTGGCTTTCCTGTAGACAGAGCGTACCATTGAGCCATCTGGCCTCCTTTTGATTAAAACATCCAAGAATGGTAGCTTGCCATCCTTTTCCCCCTCCATGGTGAATTTGATGGCTGGGTGTATGGAATTGATATGGTAGAGGAATTGGTTCAGAGCTGGTCGGCCATGCGGCCAGATGACGAACGTGTACTCAACGTACCTCTTCCACAAGGCAGGGCGTAGAGTGGATGCCTGGATGGCATCTGTCTCAAATTTTTCCATGAAAACATTGGCTACAACTGGAGTTAAGGGAGAACCCATTGGGGTACCTTCAACTTGTTTGTAGAAAGTTCCATTCCAGGTGAAATAAGTGTTGGTGAGGCAGTGTCTCACCAGGGCTGGTACATCGGCATTCAGTCCTTGTTGGAGCAAGTCTTCAATGATTGCAATGGTGTCAGGCACAGGAACTTTAATAAACAAAGAGACTACATCGAAACTAACGAGCAAATCACCTGTAGATAGTGAGATGTCCTTAATTAACGATACCAAATTAGCTGAGTTAAGTCCAGCTGAGGAGGTCTTACCAGTGAATGGTTGTAAGACAGAAATCGGGCCTTGTGTTGCGATCGAAACGTCGTAGTTTCTTCTTTGAACCTTTATCTACGTGACTTTACCGAAAGACCCAAAGAATATGAATTCCCCCCCACCCCCTCTCTCTCTCGTTGTGTCTTACTCCTGTAAAGTAACTCAAGATGCGGTTGCAAAAGGAGTTCTGAACTCCTTTTGCACCGTGTGTCGCCAAGCGTGTTAATCGTAGTTGCGACGGACGCCGCTAACACTGGTCAACAAAAAAATACATTTCTGGCCTGGACTTTTGCAGCTGTTTTAGACTAATTTCAGGATGCTGATTCCAAATCTGATCTCAGATTTGCTCTATCACATCTCATTTTTATGCTATCTGCATACCCCATTTTCATTGATTTTACCCGAGGCAGTGACTGCTTTAGTGTTAAAATATGGTGCTGTATTTTTAGGATAGTGTGTTTATCATATCATTTTATGTAGATATCCACATTTAATATTTTTCTTCTGCAGTTTTTATTGAAAATGCAATATTCGATATCTCAAAAACCTGATGTGATAGACAAAAACTGATGCCAGATTTGGAATCAGCACCCCAAAATGACCTTATAACCGTTGGAATACCTTCTGCCAGAAAAAGTGTGTTGACCAGTGTATAATCGTCACTGGTGTTGTGCACACACGAACACACGTGCTCATGCACACACACACACCCTTGCACATAACACTCCAAGGACCCTTGATAACAGAACCCATCAATTAGTCTAATCAAAGGCTTTTTGTTGTTAATAAGATACCGCGAAGCTTCAATTGCACGCAGTCTCACAAAAGTAATGAAAATAAAGACATAAAACCGTTGGAATATCTTCTGCCAGAAAAAGTGTGTTGACCAGTCTAAAGTAATCCGCTAAACTCAAGAGCCTCGCTTCAGCCGGTGGCGGCGTGAAGCTCGGCTCTGAACCGCTGATAATTGTTTTTTTTACCACATCACAACTCAAAGAGTATGAGAGCTTGGGGCAAGCATCTACACTATGGGAACCTCATTTGCCAGTAAAAATATGATAATTGGTTTTTTACCCTTCTATCTGGCAACAAAACTGACACCTTTTTTGAGTTGTGCGCCTTTTGGCGTCATCTGGTCCAACCCATATGAGACTAGGCTCTGAGGAAAGCTGTCTCGGGTGTGGACCAATCAACTTCAAGGACAGTGCACATTATCAGACTTATGTTCTTTTGTTTGCATTATGACTGCAGGTATTGCGGTCTATGCAAACATGACTCCTTGTAAAAAGGTGTCAGTTTTGTTGCCAGATAGAAAAGTAAAAAACCAATTATCATATTTTTACTGACAAACTAGGTTCCCATAGTGACAGCGCTGTCGTGTGCGTGCGTGCGCGCGACGCGCAGGAGGCACCACGACGACGACGACTCTGACGGCCACCGGCGGCACAAGCACAAGAAGTCCAAGCGGAGCCGCGAGGACAAGGAGCACGACGCCGGCGCCACGGAGGAGCGCACCGCCGACGTCGAGGCCGGCTCGGCCGCCGACGAAAACTGAGCGACGGTGCCGCCGCTCCCCCCCTCTCCCCCCCCACCTCCCACCCTCAATTCCCACCCCCGTGTGTTGTTCTCGGCGATTTGTGGCTCGTTTCGGTGGCTCGCGGTCATTGCCGACGACGCGCCGGTGATGGCTGGGGGGGGGGTGGTGGGGGGGCGGGGGGGGTGGCCCGTTTCTGTCGATTTGGTTTCGTCGTCGTGTCTCTCGTCGTTTTTGGAATCTCGGAGAATCTCCACCGCCGCCGCCACCCCCCCCCCCCTTGGCTGGGATCTGACCCCACGGGGTTCCAATTGCAACATCGGGGGGGGGGGGGGCGCATGTCCGTGAAGCCGCCCCCCTCCCGTCGAGAGCGTGACGGCGTTTTCTTTTGCGAAAGCCGCCGCAGTTCGGCGGCGAGATTCTGCTTCGTTCCGATTCAATGGGCCGCCGTGCGTGTGTGTGTGTGCGTGCGTGTGTGCGCGTGCGTGTGTGTGTGCGTGCGTGTGCGCGCATGTGCGTGCGCGCATGTGTGTGCGCGCATGTGTGTGCGCGTGTGTGTGCGTGTATATATTTTACAACCGGTTTAGACGCGGCCTGTCTGGGGGTGTTTTTTTGTTTGTTCCTTTTGACCTCGAGGCCCTAAAGGGTCCCCCGAGGCCCCTCCCCCTCGCAAGCGGCTGTCCGATGTTGCTTTTAATTTCATTTGGAGCTGGGACGTGGGACGTTGACCTCATCCCAGTTTCTCTCGCGTACTTGGTTGTCGTTGAACATAAATTTCTCCGTGCTGACGTCGGCAGATGTTTTTTTTTTTTACTCAAGGAGTGGAGCGATGGATCCATCCAGTGATTAGTATCGACTATCGAGCTCACAATATGTGCGTTGAATAACGTGCGTGGTCATCGATGATTTTCGATTTGCTTCAGTGTATGTAATAGGTTCTCTTGACCTCCACAACCACTAGAGGCGCTATCATTCACCGCTGTAAAAACTAGAAATCCGTGAATCGAATCATGACCCAAGATCGTTTCACCCCTGACGTCTCCTGCACAATATTCTCCCCACACTGTTCAATTTCCGATTACTCACTTCATTACGTCACCGCGAAGCACATTACAGTGTCTTGTCAGATCATCTGGAAAATATATTTTTATTACGATGGCGCGGAACAAGCGGGGAACGTCTCCACGGCCCAACGGAGCGTGGCGCCGTCCGTCGCCTCCCTTCTACGGCTCTCGAGCCGCCGGTGGAAATTCCACGTTATTATGACAGGGCCCAGAAAGTTATCGGAGTTGCGAGGCTGGTGTCGACCTCGTGGCGATGTCCGTCGCCCGCCCGCCCTAATATTTTTCTTCCCATTCGCCAAACGTGGGTGACGGGGCTGTCCAAGCGCACACGTGTGCCGTCGACGCCGCTGTGAGCAGCTCCGAGCGAGCCGTGGCAACGTGGAACGCGTTTGTCTCGAGGAAGGGAGCCTCCCCCCTCCCCCCCCCGACCAAGCCGACAGAGCGGCCGTGTCGAGGGACGACCGAGCCGACCGTCCGTGCTTTTACTCGGCGCGAGCGATTTGCGTTTTAGCGGTGGGGTCGTCGCGCGAAGGCGTTTGTACTTCCGGCTTTTACAGCGAGCGAGCGAGTGCACGCACGCACTCCCCCCCCCCCCCCTTTCCGTGGACAAGAAGGTGCGCGTGTGTGCGAGCGATTGATTCGGCGCGTGGCAAAACGTACCACCGATGAGATTCATGAGATCTGTGACTCTATCGGCTGTATGTGTTGAAATAAAAAGAAAGATTACACGTCTTTTTCTTTAAAAAAAAAAAGACATCTGCTTGGCTGTTTGCTTAGATCGTGTATGCAGCGTTGTTTTGTTTTAAATTATATTTGGTTAGATGTGTGTGTGTGTCGTGTGTGCAAGTCATCTCAGTTCATCAATTTCACCTGGGCCTGTGCAGTGACCTGGCAACAAGACGTCAACACTTTCCTTCACCTCAAAGTGCACCTAGCCTGGTACAAGCGCCGGGGGTTGACACCCGTCATGGCTTTTGGCGGTCGTTGCGGCATGATGAAGGCTTCGTGTGTATCTCATTCTCTTCTGGGCCTTTCCTAGGTCAACTCAGCCTTAATTGAGTACTGGATTTGGTGCCATCATCACTGGGGAGACAAAGGTGGTCAAACATAGTCGAGGCTTCATCCTGCATCATGCCAACCATAATAAGTGCTCACTAACAACACGGGCAATCCATAACACAGGTGCCGTTGATCCTCAGACATTTAGTTTACAGCATTCCCTGGTTATTCACGAACTTTCTATCCGTGGTTTTGGCTACCATCTGGAACTCTACACGACAGCATCAAAAGAAAATGATGAGATGAGGGTTATTTTTTATTTTGAAACTATGAATACTTTAATATTTCTTTTGATTTACTTCGTTTATTGTCACCAAATTTGCGTGATAATTTGTATGTATTTAATAACTTCTTTAAATATTCAAGGCCACTGAGAGGCCAATATCATTACCCGCAGAGTGTTCTATTCACGAGGATCTCGGGAACACGGCCCCTCGCAAACGACGAGCTAACGCTGTGCACAAGCATACCGAAGGTAAACAAACGTTCCGTATCGAAAGATCTCCCCTCCGAGATCCCGCCAAGTGACTTCGGACCACAGAGAGGCAGCAGTTGCCCGCGAGCCATGCCGCTGAGGGTGATGCTCGTCAGCTGGCAGTCAAGCCACGTGATGTTTGACATCTCGGTTATTTGTGAGCGGCCCGAGACCAGCAACTCTTCCCTCAACCCGCAGGGAGCTTGCCTGGGGAGTCGAGCCCAGGCCTTTGAGCGGCGCCAGCTCAACGCTTTCACCTCTGAGCCACGCGGACACCTCAACCGTCACTCATGAGGGTTCATGGATATGTTTGATCAAAGATCAAGATCCCCTGTGTAGCCTTAAGACTCATTGGGGCAAGTGCTGTTAGCGAGTAGCACCTATGGTAATTGGTTTTTTACCCTTTTATCTGGCGACAAAACTGACACTTTTTTTTTATACGAGGAGTCATGTTTGCATAGACCACAATACCTGCAGTCATAATGCAAACAAAAAACATAACTGATAATGTATGCACTGTCCTTGAAGTTGATTGGTCCACACCCGAGACAGCTTTCCTTAGAGCCTAGTCTCACATGGTGTTGGACCAGATGACGCTAAAAGGCGTCCAACACCATGTGAGACTAGGCTCTAAGAAAAGCTGTCTCGGGTGTGGACCAATCAATTTCAAGGACAGTGCATACATTATCAGAGTTGTGTTTTTTGTTTGCATTCCGACCGCAGGTATTGTGGTCAATGCAACCAGGACTCCTTGTAAAAAAAGGTGTCGGTTTTGTTGCCAGATAAAAAGGGTAAAAAACCAACGATCATATTTTTCCACTGGCAAAGGAGGTTCCAATGGTGAGTAGCACCTAATGAAGGCCGACCGGGTTGGGTGGCCAGCACCATGCCCGGCCGCCTTTGTTTCCCTCTGTTCACACGCGGCACCGGGTGCTCATTTGAAGCCGAGTCAACGTGACATTCATGAAACACGCGTTGCTGAAGAGGCAGTTTTTATTGCATGACTTTTCACGAACCTACATGGACATTCACGGAAAAGAATTCCGATGTGGTGGATGGGGAGGTGGTGGCGGGCAGCCACGAAAAAACCGAGCAGCATGCAATTCGTTTATTTTGATTCGCGTTTGCTTTCACCGCCAACCTTACTCCAACCTCTGCGTTTGTCGACTGTTTCAACCGCGGCAAGGCTCCCGCGGGGCCAGCTCTCCACGTGGAATCCGCACGCGCATGAACCGCAAGGAGAACCGGGACTGGCGAGCCCGCCACAATGGATGCCCTTGGTGCGCGCGTGCGTCTGTTAGAAAATCCCAAAGCGAATATCTAGAAAAAGGCGTGGAACGAATTCCAACGCGGCGAAGATTTGTACACGGGGGCGCGTCCGGGCGGGTCGTCAAATTCCGTAGTTCGGCACATGGGAGTTTGATGTCGTTCGAAAAAGCAGGCACGCGTCGTCTGTATTTACAAGCGGGCGAATACAAAACGAGGGGTTGGTTCCAGCACTACTGCGCCCGGCAGCGCAGTGTGCGGGAACGAAGCGACAACCACAGCGGGGAGCATTTGAAGTCGAGGCTGAGCCATCACGTTTTAGTATCGTGGTAGTAGGAGAACCGGCCCGTGTCAAAGAGTTTTGAGATTCAAAAATATGTGAACAATTGTAAAATCAAGTGTACATGTAGTCGACGCGCTTATCCATTATTGGATAAATGTGCATTTCAGACTTTGTGTTTATATATATATCTCTGTTGGCAAAAAAGTGAGCCGGTCATGGAAATTTCGATTTAAAGCTTTCGTGACTGCAGGGATTCATCTTTATGGTTCTTTCGGTAAAGTCACGTAGAAGGGAAGTAATAAAATAATAAAAAAACACATTTTTATTATTTTATTACTTCCCTTCTACGTGACTTTAAATAATAAAAAAACCTTTTTATTATTTTATTACTTCCCTTCTACGTGACTTTACCGAAAGAACCAAGAAGACGGTCACGGAAAGTCCACATTTCCCAAAAACCCCTGTGCCAGTCGACCAACCGCCACGAGTTTGGACTTTGCGTACCGTAGACTTCGCTCTTTTGTGTTGAGGTTTAACGCCATCGCGGTTCTTGGACTCGTCGCTCTCAAAACTTTTTGACCTCGCTTGAGCGGACGCGCGGTCGCATCCGTGATTATCGGGCACTGCAGAAAACGACCGGTGAAAGCTCTAAACCACTTGTATTTTACCAGGTAAGGCCCACCGAGCTGCATAGCTCTTCATCAGAAGCGAGCTGGCCACAAATGATAGCTCAACGAAGCGGCTTATCACGTGGACATTATAGCAGCCAAATACTCTAAATGCATATCGAGTCTAAATGTGGAGGGGAAAAAACGCAGGACCCGGAGATAAATCCACGCGACCACGGGGAGAACACGCACACTCCCAAATATACAGCAGCAGGTGTCAGGGTCAGGATCGAACCCACGACCTCCTGTACACCAGGCGAGGGAGTTAACATCTCCCCACCGTGGCACAAAGCGTTTTGCTTATTTGGAGATCGAGTAAATGCCTCCGACTATCGTCAACACCAAAATCACGACAACATCTGCGGCTTAATTCACAGCCCGGCAACACGTGACAACTATTGCGCAAGTTAGTCGAAGCCACGTTACTGCCGAGGTAACACGGCCACAATCCGAACACGTGTACTCGTCGTGAACTACCGGGTTTCGTTCATGAACAGGCACAATAAATATGACAATTTACAATTATACAGCAGCAATTACGACACGAATGATTACTTTTAAGTTTTCCTTACATCGTGACGTCAAAGCTAAGCTCGCAAAAAGGCATAACGCGCGACCCCGGTGGAGAAGCCTTCCGTGGCAATGTTTGGTGGGAAAAATGACAGCGCACCAAAACCGCCGTGGATTTGTGCATTCGCGGCAAATTTATTGTGGCGCAGTTCGCCGATCGCTCGACCACTCGCGGCTGACCGCGAGATTCCTGCACGCGATGACGCTGCTGCTGCTGCCGCTGCCGCCGCTGCTGCCGCTGCCGCGGAAGAACACGCCGAGTCTCCGTGTCTCCGACTCGTCTCCCCCAGCGGCCCATCGCCGGCCCCTGGTCACGCGACGCTCCCAGCCTCTCCGTTGAGGAGGTTCAGACGCGCGCAATTTTCTTTCCTTGAGTGCAGAATACTGTACACGAGGGATACGCGTCCAGTATTGTACGCTACATTTTCATTCTTTCCATTTACGCTCGAAAACATTAATCATGTTTTACATTCAGAATGCTCCCGTTTCACGTCTGGGTTCATGCAGGGTAATGGAAAACAACAGCCGATCGGACTTTTTTTTTATTACTATTTTTAATTCTGGCCTTTCAAGTGAGCTCGTAACGATCCACTTGATAATTTGATGTATTTTCACCCATCGGTGGTTATGATAATTTGGTTCGCGATTCATTTTCAATCCGAGGTCGTTGAAGCCTGTGTGAAACCCGCAGTCGTCTAAAGGTGATCACGGGCCACGTAGCCGCGCACGTGCGATGAACAGGCGCAGCGCGGTGAGCGGGGTGATCTCACCATCGGTCAGAGAGCGGTGATATCTGAACCGGTACTGGGCACCACCCTCCACCACAACTGCTCCCATATCCGTATTCACCAAAAAGCCGTGACCAGCGTGGTGAAGTATGGCCACTAAACCCCCAAGACCAACAGAGAGCTGGCCTTCATCCAGCAGTGGACTGACAATGTGGCCATACGAAACACATTGAATCATTTATTTCCTTTTATGATGTCAATTTTGTTTAGTTTCCCACCAAACATCTAGATGATTTTTTTTTACTAATTTCCACCAACACACAAATCAGGCCTCAGGTGTTAATTCTTTTGCAACTGAGACCTGGGATCGAGAGAGCAAGTGAAAAAGCTGCATTTCATCACCTACGCTGGAATAATTGCACGGACTATTTGCAAATCGGACTCGACTCAATTGCCCGTCGTTTTTGCGTCTGTCCAAAAAACTAGAATGAGCGCCCGTTGGGAAAAACGAAGGCAAGAGAGGTGTTGGCCGAAAATAGGTTCTGCCACCAATCATCACACAAGCAGCAGTAGCAGCAGCGGCAGCAGCGGCAGCAGCAGAGGCAGCAGCAGCAGCGGCAGCAGCGGCAGCAGCAGCGGCAGCAGCAGCAGAGGCAGCAGCAGCAGCAGCAGCGGCAGGGGCAGCAGCAGCAGCAGCAGCGGCCACATTCCCGCAGCAACCAGGCGGTCCCCAGAACGCGAACGCAGCGGAGATGGCTCAGACTTGTGACCCTCGATGAAACACTGCAAGCTTTGGTTGGAAGTGACTTCTCACCGTTTTTACAAAGCGCCAGTTTTAAGGAAATGTGAAACAATAATGATTCTTAAAAAACCAGGATGACTTTAAAATGTCTCTCTGCTCGGATGAGCGTGAGGGATCGACATTCACACCTGCATCCGAGGCTTTCGGCTAGTGGTGGACATTCCACATTCCCGTGGCAGGGGGGCAGTTGTTCCATAGGACAACCCCTCTTAACTTCCCCATAAAATTGGTATTGAGCCGCCTTGTTAAACCCCTTCAACCACCACAGCGCCGTCCGACTCGACAATAAACTTCCAACGAGAACAGCCTCATTGAGTCTCATTGTGCCAACGCAAATTATTATTTTTGCACGTGTGAGCAAACGAGAGCCCGGAGGAAATCCACACACACACACACGTTCGAATAGAACACTCGGCAAGCTCTGCTAAACCGGAGGGGCTTCGCGTAAAGTAAAAGTAAAAAAACAAATCTTATTTGCTGGACTGCCTCCAGCACAATGACGCCACCGCCGATGACGAAGACAATGCAGCCGCGCTCTGGGGGTCGGGGAGGTCAGCCGCGGTTGGTGAAGCGGGCCGTCTAACACGGGGGGGGGGGGACGCGTTTGTTTTTGTCGTTTGCTCCGTCCCAACCAGCCGGGCGCCAGCGGCGGTGGCGGCGGTGGTGGTGGTGGTGGCGGCGGCGGTGGTGGTGGTGGCGGCGGTGGCGCCGGCTAGACGTGGGAGCCGGGCAGGGAGATGACGGTCAACGAGACCTTGCCCCGCAGCTCCTTGAGCGTGCGCACCAGCGCCGCGTGGTTCATGCCGGCCGTGTTCCTCCCGTTCACGGCCACAATGCGGTCGCCGCACCTGCCGCACGCGTACGAGGGGAGAGACGATCAGAGAGAGATCACAGAGACGATCAGAGTGAGATCACAGAGAGAGATCACAGAGAGAGAGAGAGAGATCACAGAGTGAGATCACAGAGAGAGATCACAGAGAGAGATCACAGAGAGAGAGACGATGAGAGTGAGATCACAGAGTGAGATCACAGAGTGAGATCACAGAGAGAGAGACGATCACAGAGTGAGATCACAGAGAGAGATCACAGAGAGAGATCACAGAGAGAGAGAGAGATCACAGAGTGAGATCACAGAGTGAGATCACAGAGTGAGATCACAGAGAGAGATCACAGAGAGAGAGATCACAGAGTGAGATCACAGAGTGAGATCACAGAGTGAGATCACAGAGTGAGATCACAGAGAGAGAGAGACGATGAGAGTGAGATCACAGAGAGAGACAATTAAAGTGAGATCACAGAGTGAGATCACAGAGTGAGATCACAGAGAGAGATCACAGAGAGAGAGAGAGAGATCACAGAGTGAGATCACAGAATGAGAGACGATGAAAGTGAGATCTCAGAGTGACACCACGGACAGACAGAGAGACGTTCAGGGTGACACCACAGAGAGAGAGAAGTTCAGGGTGACACCACGGACAGAGAGAGAGACACGATCAGGGTGACACCACGGACAGAGAGAGAGACACGATCAGGGTGACACCACGGACAGAGAGAGAGACACGATCAGGGTGACACCACGGACGGCGAGAGCGCGAGACGGCGCCCGCACCTGAGGCGCCCGTCGTTGAAGGCGGGCGTGCCGGGCACGATGTGCTTGACGAGGAACGGCTGCGTGTGGCGGTTCTCCTCGAAGCCGCCCACGATGCTGAAGCCCAGGCTGCCCGACATGCCGCGCGACAACACGACCTCCTTCTGCCGCTGCAGCGCGCTGCGCCGTGGCGGAGTGGCGGTGCGTGCCAGAGAGCGTACCGCAAACACGCGTGTGTCAGCGTGTGTCAGCGTGTGTGTCAGCGTGTGTGTCAGTGTGTGTTAGTGTGTGTTAGTGTGTCAGTGTGTGTCAGTGTGTGTCAGCGTGTCAGTGTGTGTGTGTGTCAGCGTGTGTCAGTGTGTGTGTGTCAGTGTGCGTTAGTGTGTCAGTGTGTGTCAGCGTGTGTCAGCGTATGTCAGTGTGTGCGTCAGTGTGTGTGTCAGTGTGTGTGTCAGCGTGTGTGTCAGCGTGTGTGTCAGCGTGTGTGTGTGTCAGCGTGTGTCAGTGTGTGTGTGTGTCAGTGTGTGTGTGTCAGTGTGTGTGTGTCAGTGTGTGTGTCAGTGTGTGTGTGTCAGTGTGTGTCAGTGTGTGTGTGTCAGTGTGTGTCAGTGTGTGTGTGTCAGTGTGTGTGTGTCAGTGTGTGTGTGTCAGTGTGTGTCAGTGTGTGTGTCAGTGTGTGTGTCAGTGTGTGTGTGTCAGTGTGTGTGTCAGCGTGTGTGTCAGCGTGTGTGTCAGTGTATGTCAGTGTGTGTCAGCGTGTGTGGCAGCGTGTGTGTCAGCGTGTGTCAGCGTGTGTCAGCGTGTGTCTGTGTGTTAGCGCGATGCGCAATAAACCCGGCAACCCGGGTTCGATTCCCGCTCCCGGCCAACACCAGTGGCGATTATCTGAACCGGTCCCGGGCCTCAAATGAGTACCTGGTGCGGTGTGTAAACATCGCCACTGGGGAGACAAAGGCGGTCGGGCGTGGTGCTGGCCACTCACCCCCTCGTGCGCCGTGCCTGCCTTCATAGGTGCTACTCGCTCACCACTACACTACCGCTCCCCAGGTACATTTACACACTCTCTCCTACACACTCGCCCTCACGCTCACCCTCACCCACGGTCACCCTCACCCTCACCCACGGTCCCCGCTCACCCTCACCTTCACCCACGGTCCCCGCTCACCCTCACGCTCACCCACGGTCCCCGCTCACCATCACCCTCACCCACGGTCCCCGCCCGCCCCCCCCCCAGCGGAGCTCACTTGGGCAGGCTGAGCCAGGTGACCCAGGAGGGCGTCCAGGTGAGGCGCTCCCCCGTGGCGGCGCCCCCCTCCTCGTTGCGCTCGTTGTCCGCCTGGGCGGCCGCCTCCTCCTCGTCGGTCGACGTCGCTCTCGGCGGCCTGCGGGATCAACAACAACAACAGCAGTCGCCTACGGGGTCAACAACAACAACAGCAGCGGTCTGCAGGGTCAACAACAACAACAGCGGCCGGCAGGGTCAACAACAACAACAACAGTGGTCTGTGGGGTCAACAACAACAACAACAGCGGTCTGCGGGGTCAACAACAACAACAGTGGTCTGTGGGGTCAACAACAACAACAACAGCGGTCTGTGGGGTCAACAACAACAACAACAGCGGTCTGCGGGGTCAACATCGACAACGGCAGCAGCGGCTGCTATTCACCAATAAGTCGTGTCGATGTCACCACGGCGCTTGTGCCAGGCTAGGTGCACTACGAGACCACGTGAAGTGCCGAAGGCTCTCTGACAGGAGGTCACGGGATAGACTCATGTGTCATGAGTTCACTGACACACGTCCACACAAAGAAAAATATCCCCCGTATAGCCATAACAGACTGTTTGGGGCAAGTGCTGTTAGCGAGTAGCACCTATGAAGGCCGGCATGGCACACGAGGGGGTGGGTGGCCAGCACCACACCCGGCCGCCTTTGTCTCCCCAGTGGCGATGTTTACTACACACCGCACCAGGTACTCATTTGAGGCTGAGTCGACCTAGGGACGGCCCAGGACCGGTTCAAATAATCGTCACTGGTGTTGGCCGTGAGCGGGAATTGAACCGGGGTTGCCGGGTTCATAGCGCAGTGCACTAACCGCGACACTATTGCTCACGTACACACAACAACAACAACCGCAATTCGCCACTAAGTGGCGGTGACGTCACCACGGCGCTTGTGCCAGGCTGTGTGCACGTTGAGGCCACGTGAAATGTCGAACGCCCGCCGGTCACGGGGCAGACCCAGGGGTCGACTGAGTGAGATGATTGGCCGATGCACCACCTGTACCCCCTACTGTTCCAACGTGTACACAAAGATCCCCCGTAAGGCCTTAACAGACTGTAGGGGCAAGTGCTGTTAGCGAGCACGTACACACACACACACGTACACAATCACACACACACGTACACAATCACACACACGTACACAATCACACACACGTACACACACACACGTACACACACACATGTACACAATCACACACACGTACACAATCACACACACGTACACACACACGTACACACGTACACACGTACACACGTACACACACACGGCGCCCTCCGCCTCTCTCCACGCCGACCTGTCTCTGCGCTGCCCATCCCTGCGGCCGGCCCCACGCTCCTCGCCGACGCTGGCGGGCGACGCGGTGGCCGAGGTGGGCGACGAGTTGGTGGGCGACGCTGCGGTGGAGGAGACGTGGGAGAGCACGTGCAGCTCCACCGTGGGCATCGCCGCGCCGGCCTTGAGCCCGGCCACGGCCTCGGCGTGCGTCAGGCGCGTCAGGTCGCTGCCGTTCACGCTCAGCAGCACGTCGCCTGCGCACGCACAGACACGAGACGGTCACGCGGGGTGAGCGTGGGACGACGCGCAGACAGAGGCACGAGGTCGTGGGTTCCATCCCGAGCGTGACGCCTGCTGTGTACAGGGAGTCCACTACTTACGATGGAGATGCGTTAGGATGACCCCATCGTAAGTCAAAAATATCGCGAGTCGAAGACGGGCTAGCCTGCCCAGGAGTCTTAAAGAATGGTGTTAATTTAGCAAAACAGCAATTTACAGTAGCGTACTGTATAAACTATATATACTGTATGTTTTTATTAATTGCAATACTGTATTGCACAGTAAAATGTGAAGTAAAAAAACAAGGTCAATTCTTAGCCTACCCATGTGAACTGCAATTTAATAGAAAGTTTTTTCAGGAAACAATCCTGTCTGCTATAAAAAAAAAAACTTTTAACATGCATTGAACGCATCGTATCGTGGTAACCTTAAAATGAAATCGCTAAAGCTACGTATCGCACATGCATTGAACGTATCGTAACGTATCATCTTGTGCTGTACTCGCCAAAATTCTGCCTGTCGTCTGCACACGTGAACGATGTTCGGTTGTCGATGGCAATTTTGCCGTATCGCTATCGCCATCGTAAGATCGAAATATCGTAAGTCGGACCCCATCGTAACTCGGGGACTACCTGCATTTGGAGTTTGCGTGTCTCTCTCTCTCTCCTCGTGGTCGCGTGGATTTCTCTCCGGGCCCTTCGGTTTTTCCCTCCACGTTTACAATCGACATCGCGCGTTCGGAGCGTTTGGCTGCTATAAATGTCCACGTGACGATGCTAAGCCACTTCGTGGGGCGATCATTTGTGGCCAGGTCACTTCTGAAAGCGAGCTACATAGCTCAGTGGGCCTTGCCGGGTAAAATAAAAAAAATTGTTTCTCGCTTCATAGTTTTCAAAAAATTCAATGACGACCACGAGATGGCAGTAGTGACCAGGCCACTCGGAGCCGGTGCAGCTCTCAATCATTCGAGTAAAGCTGGAGACAACTCCAGTGGCTTCCTCGTGATTCGTAGTGTAGCGTGTAGAGTGTAGTGTATAGTGTATAGGACTGTAGTATTTAGTAGTGTAGTGTATAGGACTGTAGTGTTTAGTAGTGTAGTGTATAGTGCAGGGGTCCTCAAACTACGGCCCGCGGGCCACATGCGGCCCGCCGAGGACATTTATCCGGCCCGCCGGGTGTTTTTGCCGCCGCTGCCTGTCGCTTTTTTTCTGCATGAGAAGGACGGTCATTGGTGGAAGAGGGAGAGGGGGCGGAGTTTCCCCCAATCAGACTGCATTGATGGGCAGTGCAGTCTGTATGTCTCTGTGTGGGCAAAGTTATTACTGGTATATTGTTTTTGTAGTGCTGTATATATATTGGTATTTTACTAATATCAATTTTGACTCCCTAGGAAACAATGATGTCAAGAAAGAGAAAAATTGACTCGGAGTGTAGGATATTCAAAGAACAGTGGACTTATGATTACTTTTTCATGCAGTACAAGGAAAGAGCTGTGTGTCTGATATGCCAGAATATAGTGTCTGTGTTCAAATACAATTTACGTCAACACTATGAAACTCAACATAAAGATAAATATGCTTGTTTGGTCGGAGAAGTGAGAAAAGATTAAATATTAAAACTGAAAAATACATTAACAACTCAGCGAAATAGTTTTGTGAAGCAGAAGCAGCTAAATATTTCATCACTGCGAGCAAGTTTTCAAGTTTCCAAGCTAATAGCATGCACTGGCAGACCATTCGTGGAGGGAGAATTTGTTAAAGAATGCCTTCTTTCTGTTGCCAAAGAGATGTGTCCAGAGAAGGCCGATTTATTTAGTACAGTGAGTCTTTTAGGACCTACAATTACACGGAGGATTGAAGAAATGGGAGACAATTTGCATCAGCATTTGCAAAACTCCACAAAAAAACTTTCCTATTTTTCCTTGGCACTCGACGAAAGCAATGATGTTCGTGATTCTGCACAACTTCAAATTTTTATTCGTGCGACGAATGACTATTTCGAAGTCACAGAAGAGCTTGCTGCACTGCAAAGCATCAAAGGAACAACTACAGGAAAGGATATCTTTCGATTTAAAGCTTTCGTGACTGCAGGGATTCATCTTCTTGGTTCTTTCGGTAAAGTCACATAGAAGGGAAGTAATAAAATAATTCTCACGACGTTTCGGCCACAACGCAAGCAGCCGTCCTCAGGTGAAAACCAGGTCTGTTGGGGAGACAGCGTCTGAATGAAACAGCACACGAGCTTGGAGCATATATAAGCTGGGTTGGAAGCGGGGGAAAGAGCGCCTTGACAAAATAATTTCAATATCAAGAGGAATTTAGCATATTTATGGGAAATGCAGGAATGTGATTAGTACTACATATGCCCGTGCTGCATATGTAGTACTAATAACATTCCTGCATGTTCCATAAATATGCTAAATTCCTCTTGATATGCAAATTATTTGTCAAGGCGCTCTTTCCCCCGTTTCCAACCCAGCTTATATATGCTCCAAGCTCGTGTGCTGTTTCATTCAGACGCTGTCTCCCCGACAGACCTGGCTTTCACCTGAGGACGGCTGCTTGCGTTGTGGCCGAAACGTCGTGAGCATTATTTTATTATGTTTTATTTTTATTATTTTATTACTTCCCTTCTACGTGACTTTACCGAAAGAACCAAGAAGAGAGGATATCTATGAAAAGGTTTGCCAAACTGTGAATGGTTTGGAGCTGAACTGGGCTAAACTAGCCAGTGTGACAACTGATGGTGCTCCTAGCATGGTGGGGTCTAAGAAAGGAGTAATTGCTCGCATTAACCAAGAGATGGACAAACATAACCATTCTCATCCAATAGCCATACACTGCCTCATCCACCAACAAGCGCTGTGTAGTAAATCACTGAAGTGGGACTCGGTTATGAAATTTGTGGTATCTTGTGTTAACTTCATTAGAGCTCATGCACTAAACCACAGACAATTTCAAGCATTTCTGTCTGAGCTAAATGTTGACTATGAAGATGTTCTGTATCACACAGAAGTCCGTTGGCTGAGTCGAGGGAGAGTTTTGAAACGTTTCTATGACTTACTTCCACAGATTACAGCTTTTCTGCTTTAAAAAAACAAAGAAGTACCAGAGCTCAATGATGCAGAATGGAAATGGCACCTTGCCTTTCTGACAGATGTAACAGAGCTACTCAACAGTTTCAATGTGCAACTTCAAGGAAAGGGGAAGCTCATCTGTGATATGCAATCACATGTCAAAGCATTTGAAGTAATATTAGGCCTCCTCATCAAACAAGTGAAGGAGGAAAACTTCTGCCATCTCCCCACAACTCAAAATCTGTTAGCGGAAAAACCATTGGTTGCATTCCCAAACAAAACGTGTGGATTCACTGGAAAAATTGCAAAAGGAGTTCCAATTTGGATTTAAAGAGCTTCATCTCCATGAACAGGACATACAGCTTTTCCGTAACCCATTTTCTATTGACATTGAAAATGTGGATACAATTTACCAAATGGAACTGGCTGAACTGCAGAATTGTGACTCTCTGAAAGACGCATTCAAGTCAAGCAGCCTTCATAATTTCTATGCATCTCTCCCCTCTGAGACATATCCTCATCTCAGGAACCATGCACTCAAAATGGCAACCATCTTTGGCAGCACTTATGTCTGTGAACAGACTTTTTCCAGAATGAAACATTTGAAATCTCCAACCAGATCTAGACTAATAGATGCACACTTGCATCACTTGTTACGACTAACAGTGACAAATATGGAACCGGACATTGACCATCTCATTAGCCAAAAGCAGGCCCATAGTTCCCATTGAAATACTGGCAAGTTTGTTGATTTAACTTTACTTGTTCTTCATTTTAAATATAGTATTTATTCCCGTTTTGTTTCTTCACTTCAAAATAAGATATATGCAGTGTGCATAGGAATTTGTTCATAGTTTTTTTAAAACTATAGTCCGGCCCTCCAACGGTCTGAGGGACAGTGAACTGGCCCCCTGTTTAAAAAGTTTGAGGACCCCTGGTATAGTGTATAGGACTGTAGTATTTAGTAGTGTAGTGTATAGTGTATAGGACTGTAGTATTTAGTAGTGTAGTGTATAGTGTATAGGACTGTAGTATTTAGTAGTGTAGTGTATAGTGTATAGGACTGTAGTGTTTAGTAGTGTAGTGTATAGTGTATAGGACTGTAGTATTTAGTAGTGTAGTGTATAGTGTATAGGACTGTAGTATTTAGTAGTGTAGTGTATAGTGTATAGGACTGTAGTGTTTAGTAGTGTAGTGTATAGTGTATAGGACTGTAGTATTTAGTAGTGTAGTGTATAGTGTATAGGACTGTAGTATTTAGTAGTGTAGTGTATAGTGTATAGGACTGTAGTATTTAGTAGTGTAGTGTATAGTGTATAGGACTGTAGTATTTAGTAGTGTAGTGTATAGTGTATAGGACTGTAGTATTTAGTAGTGTAGTGTTTAGTGTATAGGACTGTAGTATTTAGTAGTGTAGTGTATAGTGTATAGGACTGTAGTATTTAGTAGTGTAGTGTATAGTGTATAGGACTGTAGTGTTTAGTAGTGTAGTGTATAGTGTATAGGACTGTAGTATTTAGTAGTGTAGTGTATAGTGTATAGGACTGTAGTATTTAGTAGTGTAGTGTTTAGTGTATAGGACTGTAGTGTTTAGTAGTGTAGTGTTTAGTGTATAGGACTGTAGTGTTTAGTAGTGTAGTGTATAGTGTATAGGACTGTAGTATTTAGTAGTGTAGTGTATAGTGTATAGGACTGTAGTATTTAGTAGTGTAGTGTATAGTGTATAGGACTGTAGTATTTAGTAGTGTAGTGTATAGTGTATAGGACTGTAGTGTTTAGTAGTGTAGTGTATAGTGTATAGGACTGTAGTATTTAGTAGTGTAGTGTATAGTGTATAGGACTGTAGTATTTAGTAGTGTAGTGTATAGTGTATAGGACTGTAGTATTTAGTAGTGTAGTGTATAGTGTATAGGACTGTAGTATTTAGTAGTGTAGTGTATAGTGTATAGGACTGTAGTGTTTAGTAGTGTAGTGTATAGTGTATATGACTGTAGTATTTAGTAGTGTAGTGTATAGTGTATAGGACTGTAGTATTTAGTAGTGTAGTGTATAGTGTATAGGACTGTAGTATTTAGTAGTGTAGTGTATAGTGTACAGGACTGTAGTGTTGAGTAGTGGAGTGTTTAGTAGTGTGTAGGACTCTAGTGTTGAGTAGTGGAGTGTTTAGTAGTGTGTAGTGTACTGTATACTGGTGTCGTGTATAGTCGTGCAGTGTACAGCCGTCTGCATGTTGAACTTCTTTCACACTGTACGTAGCCAACAGCACTCATCGAAGGTATGGCGGAAGGACACAAAAAGCAGTTCTAGAGAAACGAGTTTTCAATCTCGACGATGATCATTTAAAAGTGCACAGCTCCGGTGGCTTCCTAATATCGGAAGGAAGAGCGTTCCAGACGGCCACAGAGGCGCTTCTGAAAGCGCCGCGCGCGATCGTCTTCGTTTCGCCAATAAAACCGCCACCGCTGCCACTGTCACCGCCGCCGCTGCTGCTGCGGGGACGACTCTCAAGTTTCGCGCGACGACGGTTTCCACTCCGCGGCTCGTTCGCATCAAGCGCCGCCGCGGTGCGTGCCGAGAGCGCGACCTCCTCCTCACCCGTGCGGACGTTGCGCGTGCGGCCCAGCGAGCCGTGCGGGTCCACGCTCGTCACGTAGATCGGGAGGTCCCCCCCGAGGCTGCCCAGACCCCCCGCCACCGTTATCCCCAGAGACTCGTGGGGGGCCTTCGAGACCCGCACCGTCTTCTCCTGCCACGGTGAGCCCTGGGGGGGGGGAGGGGGGGGGGGGGCATGTACACACGCACGGATGAATGCATGCAACACGCACGCGCAATGCGCGCACCCGCGTGCACTGGGTTAGAGCTACGGTGAGGGTTAGGGGTTAGTGACGGGATTAGTTTTACGATTCGGGTCAGTGTTAGGGTTTGTGCCGGTAGTGCGAGTATCAGGGTCAGTGTCAGGGTCAGTGTCGGGGTCAGTGTTAGGGTCAGTGTCAGGGCTCGTGCTAGTATAAGTTTTAGTATCGGTATCAGGGTGAGCGTCAGTATCAGGGTCAGTGTCAGGGTCAGTGTTAGAGCTCGTGCTAGTATTAGGGTCAGTATTAGGGTCAGTATCAGGGTCAGTGTCAGGGTCAGTATCAGGGTCAGTGTCAGGGTGAGCGTCAGTATCAGTGTCAGTGTCAGGGTCAGTATTAGGGTCAGGGTCAGTGTCAGGGTCAGGGTCAGTGTCAGGGTGAGCGTCAGGGTCAGTGTCAGCGTCAGTATTAGGGTCAATGTCAGGGTCAGGGTCAGTGTCAGTATCAGGGTGAGCGTCAGTATCAGTGTCAGTGTCAGCGTCAGTATTAGGGTCAATGTCAGGGTCAGGGTCAGTGTCAGGGTCAGTGTCAGGGTGAGCGTCAGGGTCAGGGTCAGCGTCAGGGTCAGTGTCAGGGTGAGCGTCAGTGTCAGTGTTAGGGCTCGTGCTAGTATTAGTTTTAGTATCGATATCAGGGTGAGCGTCAGTATTAGCATCAGTATCAGGGTCAGCGTCAGGCTCAGTGGTAGGGCTCGTGTTGCGGGGTCCTCACGGTGCTCAGCGCCGCTGCCGCTGCGGCGGTGGCGCCAGCGTTGTGGTCGTTGTTGTTGTTGTTGGGGACCACCTCGTGCAGGATTTCGGGAACGTGCGGCCGGCACTGTCGCGACACCACGAAGTGCACGCGGTCCTGGCACGACTGCAGGCGCGCCGAGCGGGGCGATCGCGCGCACACAGAGAGGGGGGGGAGGGAGAGGGGTACAACAACGTTCGTCAGCCGACTCAATCGCTCCTTCGCCCGACTCGCACGTCACAAGCGGCGACGGGGTTCCAATCCGGCAGGCCGCCCTGGACATTCCTGCGGCCGTGTTCACCGTTAACCCGCCACGACGTGGCATCCCGCTTTCACCCAGCGGATGTTTCAAAGATCCCGCGGCCGGCATCATGGGTTTCAAATTTGCCAAATTGGGATTACACACTCGGCAATGTCGCCCTCTACTCCGGGACTACTGCAGGCCGTGTCTGTGAAACGCAGCGGCAGCAGCTGTAGCACCGTCGAGTTACTAATCATTTTTAAGTATTTCGATGATTTGGCTGCTACATATTACCACGTGATGAGCCACTGCGCATTGGGCTGTGAATTTGTGGCCAGGTCGCTTCCGAAAAAGTAGCAAACAGCTCGGTGGGCCTTACCTGGTAAAATAGTTTTGCTTTTGTTATTTTTCTTACCTTTCCTATACTTTGCACTCCGATGAGCCCGGTTGGCTACGTAGGGTGCGAAAGAAGTTCAACGTACTGTACATGCGCCGTATTTTCGTATCGTTTGTTGTTGTCGCCCCTGTGACCCCGTTCCCCTACGGGACAACTGCGGGCAGTAAACACAAACCCACCACCTCCACCCGCACCCCCCTTGCCTGTATGATGGCGACCGCCTGCTCCGTGGTGGCCCTGCGCACGTCGCGCCCGTTGATGGCGATGACGCGGTCCCCGGCACGGAGGGCGCCCTCCCTGGCCGCCACCCCCCCCAGCAGCACGCGCTGGACCATGACCCCCGCCGGCAGCTCCGAGGGGCCCCCGGCGCCGCCGCATGTCGCCTCGGCCAATCGGATTCCCAGCACCTCGCCCGAGTAGCGCTTCCTCAACACCACCTGGGGCCGGCACCGCGCGGTCACGAGACATCGTCGTCGTTAACGTCATCACTCTTCGTCGTCGTCGTCATCATTGTTAACGTAATTAGCGTCGTCGTCGTCGTCCATAAAGCCTACGTGTTAAACTGATCATCGCCATCATCGGTAACATAATTTTTGTCGTCGTTAACATCACCATTGTCATCATCATCATCATATTCGTCGTCGTCGTCATCGTCGTCATTATCGTCGTCAACATAATTATCGTCGTCATCAACATCATAATCATCCATAAAGCCTACGTATTAAACTGATCATCATCATCATCGTTAACACAATTATTGTCGTCAACATCATTATCATCATCATCATATTCGTCGTCGTCGTCGTCATGGTCACCTGCAGGCTTTCATTGCCAGGCCCAGCGGCCGCGGCGAGGCCGTCCCCGCGGCGCGTCTCTCCGCCGCGCAAGTCCCGGCACGTGTGCCGGCGCGGGAGCCGGTGCGACTCCCGCTGCTGGGCTGCGCCGGCCCCTCCCGCCGCCGCCAACGCCGACGCCGAGGACGCCGAGCGGCGGTAGGAGCGCCGTGCGGGCGAGCGCGAGGAGGAGGCCGCCGCCGCCGCCGCCCCGGGGGGTGCCGTGGGGGCCGCCCCGTCGGGCCCGAAGGCGGCGTGGTGCGCGTCGCGCAGCACGCGCAGACGCACGCAGCGGCACGGCTCGGCGAGCGCGGCGCGCGCAAACTCGTGCGGCACGCTGCCGATGTCCACGCCGTTCACCTGCGCGGCGTGGGGCGGGGGGGGGTGGGGGGGGGCGGAGGGTGGGAGCGTGGGGGGGGGGGATGAAGGACAACTTCTGTTACCGACCCCCTTCCCCGAGGTGATGATGGGCGGGCGGCCAGAACGCAGCAAAGTGGTTGAGAGGGAGCAGAGGCAGCGCATCCGCATCTCATCGCAACTCAAACTTCATTTGGAGCTATCTGCATCTCATCGCATCTCCGCATCTCAAACTTCATTTGGAGCTATCTGCATCTCATCGCATCTCCGCATCTCAAACTTAACTTGGAGCTATCTGCATCTCATCGCATCTCCGCATCTCAAACTTAACTTGGAGCTATCCGCATCTCATCGCATCTCCGCATCTCAAACTTCATTTGGAGCTATCCGCATCTCAGTCAGGCGACCCACGCGACCTCCTGTGCAGCTCTGTCCCGTGACCTCCTGCACCTAGTCTGGCACAGCAGTCAACACAGGGCACCTGGGTCTTTGCCGCGGCCTCCTCCTGCCAGCGGCGAGCCTTCAACACTTCCCGCAACAGCTTCCAAGTGCACCTAGCCTGGCACGAGCGCCGTGCTGACGTCACAGCCACTTAGTGGCGACAGGCGGTTGCTGCTGTATATTTGGTTTATCTCCAGGTCCTCCAGTTTTTCCCTCCACTTTTAGAAGCAACGTGCGTTCAGAGTATTTGGCTCCTGCTGTAATTGTCAACGCGATAAGCCACTTCGTTGGGCTATCATTTGTGGTGGCCAGGTCGCTTATGAAAGACAGCAGCATAGCTCAGTGGGCCTTACCTGGTGAAGTACAAATAGTTGAGTTTAGCTTTCTTTAAGTAAAAATTGTATCGTTCGTAAAAATGTAAGGAAGCCGGAAAGAGAGGAGAATGGGCTTGACGACGACATCAAAAGAGATTGGTGCCAGCAAGATATTGCACTACACTATACACTACACTATACACTACACTATACACTACACTCTTATATACTACTATACACTACACTAATATACACTACACTCTTATACACTACTATACACTACACTATACACTACACTATACACACTACACTCTTATATACTACTATACACTACACTATACACTACACTATACACTACTATACACTACACTATACACTACACTCTTATATACTACTATACACTACACTATACACTACTATACACTACACTACTAGACACTACACTATACACTACACTAGTATATACTACACTATACACTACTATACACTACACTATACACTACACTACTATACACTACACTATACACTACACTAGTATATACTACACTATACACTACTATACACTACACTACTATACACTACACTATACACTACACTATACACTACACAAGTATATACTACACTATACACTATTATACACTACTATACACTACACTCTTATATACTACTATACACTACACTATACACTACTAGACACTACACTATACACTACACTAGTATATACTACACTATACACTACTATACACTACACTATACACTACACTACTATACACTACACTATACACTACACTATACACAACACTAGTATATGTAATGCGGTTGTAAACGGCCCTTCTGAGGTGCCGTCAGGGGGGGAGGAGTTAGTTCACGTGGGGGGAGAGGGGTTGAGTATAGAAGGAGGGGAACCGGAAGAGCAGGGGGAGTGACGGGGAACCAGGAACAGAGGAAGGCCACGAAGGGCGAAGCGGGGTGTGGCGAGATCGCCACGAACACGGGGGGAGCGAGGATCGGCACCGTTGGCCAGCGGTGACCGACCCGAAGCAGCGAGGAGGCTGCAGTCAGCAGCGGGGCTGCACAGAGAGAGTGGGCAGCGGGTCTGCATACAGTGACAGCCAGAGGGTCTGCACATAGGGGTAGCAGCAAGTCTACAGGGAGGAGGTTACAGTAGATGAAGCAGAGAGTCAGAGGGGTGAGGAAGCTATAATAGCAGTGAATAGCCGGGGGCTACAAATACAGGAGTTATAACAGAGTGCCGTGTGGGTAAAGACGTGAACCTGAATAAAGACACGAAGACAGAAAGAAGTGTTCGAGTCCTTTTATTACACTGGAGTCAGAAGTGAAACGGCATGGCGAAACAACTGAGGAAGAAGAATATCCCATCTCCGGCGTCGGCTTCATCATCGGACGACGACGATCTTCCTCCTGAGGTCGGCTTCACTTCGGCGGAGGGAGAGATCCGTGAGGGCCCGGGTGTGGAGGAGGTTGCCGCTGCGCCCGACCCATCTGCGTTGAAGGACGAAGATTTAAGATGGACCCGGATGGCGGAGCAACTGGCGACCCTAAAAACCGTCATCACGGAGTTGTGTGACCTTGTCACGCCAAGGGCGGCGTTGGAAGGTGATGGTGGTGATCGGCAGGAGCCCGGGTCGTCTTCGATGGCGCCGCCATCGACCACGCGGCGGGAAGACGCCATCTTGGGCGTGGCGCACCACGGAAGGCGGGAAGCCGCCATCTTGGGGCCGCCACGAAGATCGTCCGCCATCTTGGCGACACCGCGTTGCGACGCCTTGCTGAACTTGCCGCCGGAAGAGTCGGTGACGGACGGAAGCAGGCCAAGGAGCCGCAGTCGTCACCTTACAACTGTTAAGGAGTTCTCCATCGGGGGCGATTGGAGTGCGTTCGCTTGTCGATTTTTGGCGGCGGTACGAACGGCAAGGTGGACGGACGCCGAGGCGCTGGAGGTGCTTCCGACTCTCCTTGACGATGAGTCTGTTCGTTTTTTTCGCTCTATAAAAGCTGCGAAGAAGAAAACATTGCGTGGAGTGTTCGACGAAATGGCGGACGCGTACGAGCCACCGGATGACGCCCATCGCCGCTTCGTGCAGCGGCAACGCGCACCGGAGGAGTCGCCTGTAGCGTACAGGGGCGCCGTGCTGGAACTCGCGATGGCCGCTTACCCGGAGACGGAGCCTGACCTGCTGGAACCTCTCATCTTGGGGAAGATGTTGGAGTTATCCCGGGATCTGGGCATTCCTATGCCGGCTTGCGGTCACGAGAAACTCACGTCCCGGACCGCGGCTAAGTGTTTGGACGCCCAGTTCAATCTCCGCCGCTGGAAACAAGTCACGGCGTGGACGGGCGGTCCTGTCGTCGATGGGGGGGCCGTAGGGTGGGACCCTACAAAGGCCGTGTACGTGCCGGATGCGACCGGCCCAAAGGAGCTGTCGGCCGCCTCCACTCCGTGGCCGGCTCGAAGCGAGCCGGGGCCGCGGGCTCCGCCGCCGGCGCGGCCACGTCGGGACGGGGTGCCTGCTGCGCGCCGACCCGACGTCGACTGTTTCCGCTGCGGCCGTCGGGGCCACTATGCCAGGGACTGCTGGGCCCGGGTTCCGGGGCCGCCCCAGCAGGAGGCCTCGATCGCGGACGTCCCAAAGAAAGACCCTCCGGCACAGGCAAGTCGGTGCGCACCAGACACCCGGCAAGGCCTGACACCTCACTCATCGCCGTTGTTGTGCGACGCGGATGTTCTAAAATATGGGAGGCCAGTATCTGCGCCTTGTCGCTCGATAACGCAGTGGCGTAAGTTGGCTCGGCGGGTTGTCGCGGCCGCTACAGGTTCGTCCACTGTACCGGGGTCGATCCAAGGGGTGGACGTGCGTATTTTGGTGGATTCCGGGGCGTCCGCGACCATTATTTCGGATGTCATATTCCATCTTTTGAACATCCCACCGGGGGCCGTGAGGCCGGCTTACGCTTCCTGCATCGCTGCGAACGGGGGTAGTATGGGCATCGTGGGACAGGTGGACGCTAATATTTCTATCGGGGGGGTCTCGGCCTCGGGCGTTGTGTTAATTTCGAGGTCCCTGGCGGTTCCTTGCTTGTTGGGCACGGATTTTTTGGCTAAGATGCCCATTTTAATTAGAATCAATGAAAATTGCATTGAACTGCCAGGGGGCCGCAAATTGGCGTTTTTACAGTCCACCTGGGGGCGACCGGCTCCGGTTGCCCAGGTGCAGGCGTTATCGGAAGTTTCAGTTGATATTCCACCTGGCTCGCAGATGCTCATTCCCCTACGATACCGGAAGCCGGTTCCGGGTCGGCAGAGTGCTTGTGGAATTTTGCTGTCGCCGTCCGCCGCTGTTACGGGCGGATTGGCACTGGTGGGGGCGCAAACCATTGTCCGTCCGGATCAGCGCCCGTTTTTGCAGGTGTTAAATGCGACTTCTGAAAGCGTGTGTGTGCCGGCTGGTACCGTTGTGGCACACGCCACTACGGCGTTTACGGCTCAGAGTGACATTCCGGACGGGGGGCTGGTGGGTGGTGTTTCACACGACGGAGGGGTGGACGATCGTTGGATCGCCGAATTATGTGCGGAAAATTCGGCCCTTTCCGCTGAGCAGCGTTGTGCGATTCATAAATTATTAGCGAGCTATTCCGATGTGTTTAGCTCGGACGATTTGGACTTGGGACGCACCTCGCTGCTCTCTCATCACATCGAAACGGGGGACGCGGCCCCTATCCGCTTGAACTCGCGTCGGATGAGTCCGGCTGAGCGTGAGCACGTTCGAGGGGCAGTGGAAGACATGTTGAAAGCGGATATTATATCTCCGTCTAATAGCCCGTGGGGTGCGCCTGTCGTGTTGGTTAAAAAGAAAGATGGTAAATTACGATTTTGTGTGGATTTTCGGAAGTTAAATAAAGTGTCGGTGGCAGATGCGTATCCCCTGCCGCGTATGGACGATTCTCTCGACGCCTTGTCAGGGGCTAAGTTTTTTTCAACGCTAGATCTCTCTTCGGGCTTCTGGCAGCTTCCCCTTGACGAGCCCTCGCGGGAAAAGACAGCGTTCCGTACGCCGCAGGGGTTGTTCCAATTTAACTGTCTGCCGATGGGGTTGAATGCAGCCCCTGCCACCTTTCAGAGATTGATGGAGTTGGTATTGACGGGGTTGCAGTGGGAGACATGTCTCATTTATTTAGATGATATTATTGTCTTCAGCCGCACATTTGATGAGCATTTATTGCGGTTGGAGGCCGTTTTTGCCAGAATGCGTTCTGCTAATTTGAAATTCAAGCCTAAGAAATGTCATCTACTGCAACGTTCCGTTCGATACTTGGGACATATTGTTAGTGCGGACGGGGTGGCCACGGATCCAGAGAAAACTGCGTGTGTCCGGGATTGGGCAACCCCCGCCACGGTGGGTGATGTGCGTCGGTTTTTGGGGTTCGCCTCATATTACCGGAGGTTTGTTCCGAATTTCGCTACTATCGCCAGGCCTTTGCATCTCCTTACTGGGAAGGGGCACAAATTTGTGTGGGGACCGCCGGAGGAGGCGGCGTTTCGGAGCCTGCGCGACCTACTGGCTACTGCGCCGACGTTGGATTATCCGGATTTTGAACATCCCTTCATTCTGGATACTGATGCGAGTGACACCGGGATTGGGGCGGTGTTGTCCCAGTCAAAAGGTGGTGTTGAGCGTGTGGTGGCGTACGGGAGTCGGGTTTTGTCTCCCGCGGAAACTCGTTACTGCGTCACTCGCAGGGAACTTTTGGCTATTGTGTATTTTCTCCGCCAATTTCGACCGTATCTGTACGGTCGGTCGTTTATTGTCCGAACGGACCATGCGGCCTTGCAGTACGCTCTTAAGATGGACCAGCCATCCGGACAATTGGCGAGATGGCTGGACACGTTGCAAGAATTCTCCTTCCAAATTCACCATCGGAAGGGTGTGCGTCACGCTAACGCGGACGCACTGTCCAGGTTGCCGCAACAATCCCCTTGTGCGTGTGCGTCGGGGACGCATAGGTGTGGACCGGCTCAGCCCCCCCCTCAACCTGTCGCGCGGGCAGTGGATGTTCTCGAACCTCCGCTTACACCGGGACCGGTTGAAGGGGGACCGGCTGACGGGATTTTGCGTCTTCCAAGGTCTGTGTGGATTCGGGAGCAAATGTTGGACGATTCTTTGGTGTCGTTACGGAAACGAACGGAGAAGGCGGGTAAGGAAGTCGGTGCGGGTGGTAATTCGGAAACTGCTCTCCGAGATGGGTTACTGATGTGGAGGGAAGGGATACAGGAACACTGGCGTCTCGTTGTGCCTGCGTCATTGCGCTATGAGTTGATTCGATCTTTGCACTGTGACACACTTTTACACCTGGGGGTGCAGAAAACCCTATTGACGCTGCAACGAGACTATTATTGGCACGGCATGACGACGGATGTCGTCGGTCACGTTCGCGCGTGTCCCGATTGTGCCCGCCGTAAGCCGAATAAACATCCATATGTTCCGCCGATACAATCGATTAAAGTATCTCGGGTTAATGAGTTGGTGGCGTTAGATATTTTGGGACCCTTTCCGCCATCAGCTAAAGGGAATAAGTATTTACTGGTGGGGGTGGAGTACCTCTCTCGCTGGCCGATGGCCTGGCCCTTGCCTGACCAGTCAGCGGCGTCTATCACGGACGCCTTTCTATTTGGGTATGTAATGGACAAAGGGGCTCCGGAGAGGCTCCTTACGGATCAGGGACGTAACTTTTCGTCTAAATTGTTGGGGGAGGTGTGTGCGGCTCTTGGAACTAAAAAGATACGGACGTCCCCCTACCACCCGCAAACGGATGGTATGGTGGAACGGTTGAATCGGACTCTGTCCGCCATGCTGTGCCATACAGTCGGGGAAAACCAATCTGATTGGGATTTGCATATCCCTGGGGTGCTTTCGGCGTATCGCATGACGCCGCACGCGGCTACTGGATACTCGCCGTTTTTCCTTATGTACGGCCGTGAGAACGTGCCGCCGATTCATGACCAGTTGGGAACCGGTGCGAGGGGGCCTGTTAAGCCTCTTCCTGAGTATATTAAGGACAACGTTCGGCGTGTCGCTGAGGCGAGGGAAAATGCCCGCATGGCTACTGCCAAGGCTCAGGCCAGGAATGAGCGGTGTGCCCGACGTTCAAAGGGGGAGTGTCCCTGGAAAAAGGGGGACCTGGCCTGGCTTCATTGCCCACAGGTGCGGCCAGGTACATCTCCTAAATTACATCGACCTTGGCAGGGTCCGGTCCGCCTCATTGAGGTTCCCAACCCACAGTCGGCGCGTGTTCAGGTTGGTGCACGGCGTTGGTTCGTGCACACGTCCCGGTTGAAGCCATACATTGCCCCACGGCCGGATGCGTCATCTCCCCAAGTTGCCTTGCCGGGGTCTGTTGCTGCCGACTCGCCCTTGCCTGTGTCTGCTGACCTTGCGAGAGCGCCTGTCGTACCCTTCACAGACAAGCCGGCCGTGACAGCGCAGGGAGGAGGACCTTCCGCTTGTGGGACGCCGACCGGAGCCGCAGAACCCACGGGACCTGCAGCTCTTCCTATCCCTCCGCGGACGCGAGTACGGGATGTTTCTGGACGCGAGCGGGACAGTGGCGGGCCTCCAATGGCGACGGAAGAACTTGCGCCCGTCGCCCCTAAAACCCTTCCACGTTCCCGCTCGGCGGGTGGGCCGCCGACCGTCCGGGACGGCCCGGCTACCCGTACTCGCTCGAAATCCCTCACGTTTCGTTAGATTGTGTTGTGTTGTGTTATTGTTATAATGTTCTTCAATGCTTCGTGTCTTTTTGCGTGTTGGCCCTTTACACCCGCATTGCTTTTCAGGTTGCAATTCAGCCGAGGTCGGCTGGATTTTCTTTAGGGGGGAGGGTGATGTAATGCGGTTGTAAACGGCCCTTCTGAGGTGCCGTCAGGGGGGGAGGAGTTAGTTCACGTTGGGGGAGAGGGGTTGAGTATAGAAGGAGGGGAACCGGAAGAGCAGGGGGAGTGACGGGGAACCAGGAACAGAGGAAGGCCACGAAGGGCGAAGCGGGGTGTGGCGAGATCGCCACGAACACGGGGGGAGCGAGGATCGGCACCGTTGGCCAGCGGTGACCGACCCGAAGCAGCGAGGAGGCTGCAGTCAGCAGCGGGGCTGCACAGAGAGAGTGGGCAGCGGGTCTGCATACAGTGACAGCCAGAGGGTCTGCACATAGGGGTAGCAGCAAGTCTACAGGGAGGAGGTTACAGTAGATGAAGCAGAGAGTCAGAGGGGTGAGGAAGCTATAATAGCAGTGAATAGCCGGGGGCTACAAATACAGGAGTTATAACAGAGTGCCGTGTGGGTAAAGACGTGAACCTGAATAAAGACACGAAGACAGAAAGAAGTGTTCGAGTCCTTTTATTACATATATACTACACTATACACTACTATACACTACACTACTATACACTACTATACACTACACTATACACTACACTATACACTACACTACTAGACACTACACTATACACTACACAAGTATATACTACACTATACACTACTATACACTACTATACACTACACTCTTATATACTACTATACACTACTAGACACTACACTATACACTACACTAGTATATACTACACTATACACTACTATACACTACACTATACACTACACTACTATACACTACACTATACACTACACTATACACAACACTAGTATATACTACACTATACACTACTATACACTACACTACTATACACTACTATACACTACACTATACACTACACTATACACTACACTACTAGACACTACACAAGTATATACTACACTATACACTACTATACACTACACTACTAGACACTACAATACTATACATTACCATACACTACACTACTATACACTACACTACTATACACTACACTATACACAACACTACACTACACACTACTATACACTGCACTCTACTATATACTATCCACTACACTATACACTACACTACTATACACTACACTATACACAACACTACACTACACACTACTATACACTGCACTCTACTATATACTATCCACTACACTATACACTACACTACTATACACTACACTATACACAACACTACACTACACACTACTATACACTGCACTCTACTATATACTATCCACTACACTATACACTACACTACTATACACTGCACTAATATGATGTGGCACTACTTGCGCCATATTGGCACAAGACGGAGAGGCCGGTGGACAGTTACTATGTGCCCCTGGATCATGATGACGATGTTGAACAACACTTTACACTACCCTATACACTACCCTATACACTACACTACACACTATACACCATGTGCCCATGAATCGTGATGTACGTACCATACTTAGCCATCAGGGAGCACAACGAGCGGGCGCACCCACGTATGTACACACACACACACACGTATGTACACACACACACGTATGTACACGCACACACACGTATGTACACACACACACACACACGTATGTACACGCACACACACATGTATGTACACGCACACACACGTATGTACACACACACACACGTATGTACACGCACACACACACGTATGTACACACACACACACCCACGTATGTACACACACACACACATACACGTATGTACACACACACACACACGTATGTACACACACACACATACACGTATGTACACACACACACACACGTATGTGCACACACACACACCCACGTATGTACACACACACACATACACGTATGTACACACACACACACGACGACGATGACGACGATGAACCAGTGTGTCTCTGGGGGTGTGTGTCTCTGGGGGTGTGTGTCTCTGGGGGTGTGTGTCTCTGGGGGTGTGCGCGTGCCTTGAGGATGCGGTCTCCTGGCAGCAGGCGAGCGTCGCGGCTGGCGAGGCCGGGCCGCAGCACCTGCTGCACCACGATGCTGTCGAGCGGCGTGTCGCTGCCGCCCACCACCATGACGCCCAGCTCCTCGTACGGGTCGGCACGGCGCAGCTCCAGCGTCGACACGGCACCCTCACGTACCGGAGAGCCCGGGGACAGCTCTACCCCACGTCAGCATCACGTGGTGGTGGTGGTGAGGGGTAGAGAAGGTGTCAGCATCACGTGGTGGTGGTGGTGGTGAGGGGTAGAGAAGGTGTCAGCATCACGTGGTGGTGGTGGTGAGGGGTAGAGAAGGTGTCAGCATCACGTGGTGAGGGTGGTGAGGGGTAGAGAAGGTGTCAGCATCACGTGGTGAGGGTGGTGAGGGGTAGAGAAGGTGTCAGCATCACGTGGTGGTGGTGGTGGTGGTGAGGGGTAGAGAAGGTGTCAGCATCACGTGGTGGTGGTGGTGGTGAGGGGTAGAGAAGGTGACAGCATCACGTGGTGGTGGTGGTGGTGGTGAGGGGTAGAGAAGGTGACAGCATCACGTGGTGGTGGTGGTGGTGAGGGGTAGAGAAGGTGACAGCATCACGTGGTGGTGGTGGTGGTGAGGGGTAGAGAAGGTGACAGCATCACGTGGTGGTGGTGGTGAGGGGTAGAGAATGCGTCAGCACGAGGTGGTGAGGGGTAGAGAAGGTGTCGACACGGCGTGGCAGCGGCTAAGTTGTGGTGGCAGCGGCTACAGTGGTGGTGATTGTAGTGGTGGCTGTGGTGAGGGTGGCGACGGTGTTGGCGGATATTGATGGTGGTCGTGGCCAGGGCCGGATTAAGATTGTGTATGCCCCGGGGCTGCAGGTAGTGTGAGCCCCCCCCCCCCCCCCAGTAATATTTTCAAAAGGAAAACAAAGTTAAAGAAAAATAAAATGTATTGTTACAACGCTAACAATAACAAATAAAATTCAGCATTCACAAACGAAATCACTTTTCACTTCAATCTCTGGAGGCCGCTCCAGCTGGTGGAGGCCCCTGGGCTTGCAGCCCCTAAAGCCCCCACGCCTTAAACCTGCCCTGGTGGTGGCGGTGGTGGTGGCGGTGGTGGCGGTGGTGGTGCTGGAGTTGGTGGTGGTTGCGGTGGAGTTGGTGGTGGTGGCGGTTGTGGCAGTGGTGGAGTTGGTGGTGGCAGCAGTAGTGGTTGTGGTGGAGGTGGCGGTGGTGGTGCTGGAGTTGGTGGTGGTTGCGGTGGAGTGGGTGGTGGTTGCGGTGGAGTTGGTGGTTGTTGCGGTGGCGGTGAAGTTCATGGCAGTGGTGAAGTTGGTGGTGGCATCGGTGGTGGTGGTGGCGGTGGTGGCGGTGGTGGTAATGGCGGCGGTGGTGGTAATGGCGGCGGTGGTGGTAGTGGCGGAATTGGTGGTGGTGGTAATGGCGGTGGTGGCGGTAATGGCGGTGGTGGCGGTTGTGGCGGTATTGGCGGAGGTGGTAGTGGCGGAATTGGTGGTGGCGGTATTGGCGGTGGTGGTATCGGCGGTGGTGGTGGTATTGGCGGTGGTGGTATTTGCGGTGGCGGTGGTGGTAATTGTGGTGGTAATGGCGGTGGTGGTGGTGGTGAGTCCGTTACCGGAGCCGGACGATTCCCCGCCGGAGGAGCTGTCGCTGCGCGAGGGGGGGGCGCTGTCCCTGCTGGAGCCTCTCGTCCGCCGGCCCACATCTCCATCGCCGACTGGGGCGACACACGGCCCAGCACGGCACAGTCAAGCCAGCCGCACTACGTCTCGCAACACCAGCAGTGTCACTACAGCCCCACCTACAGTGTGACTACAGCCTCACCTACAGCGTCACTACAGCCTCAGCTACAGCGTGACTACAGCCCCACCTACAGCATCACTACAGCCTCACCTACAGCGTGACTACAGCCTCACCTACAGCGTGACTACAGCCTCACCTACAGCGTGACTACAGCCTCACCTACAGCGTCACTACAGCCTCACCTACAGCATGACTACAGCCTCACCTACAGCGTCACTACAGCCCCACCTACAGCGTGACTACAGCCTCACCTACAGTGTGACTACAGCCTCACCTACAGCGTGACTACAGCCCCACCTACAGCGTGACTACAGCCTCACCTACAGCGTGACTACAGCCTCACCTACAGCGTGACTACAGCCCCACCTACAGCGTGACTACAGCCCCACCTACAGCGTGACTACAGCCTCACCTACAGCGTGACTACAGCCTCACCTACAGCGTGACTACAGCCTCACCTACAGCGTGACTACAGCCCCACCTACAGCGTGACTACAGCCCCACCTACAGTGTGACTACAGCCTCACCTACAGTGTGACTACAGCCTCACCTACAGTGTGACTACAGCCTCACCTACAGCGTGACTACAGCCCCACCTACAGTGTGACTACAGCCTCACCTACAGCGTCACTACAGCCCCACCTACAGCGTGACTACAGCCCCACCTACAGCGTGACTACAGCCCCACCTACAGTGTGACTACAGCCCCACCTACAGCGTCACTACAGCCTCACCTACAGCGTCACTACAGCCTCACCTACAGCGTGACTACAGCCCCACCTACAGCGTGACTACAGCCCCACCTACAGCGTGACTACAGCCTCACCTACAGCGTGACTACAGCCCCACCTACAGCGTCACTACAGCCCCACCTACAGCGTGACTACAGCCTCACCTACAGCGTCACTACAGCCCCACCTACAGCGTGACTACAGCCTCACCTACAGCGTCACTACAGCCTCACCTACAGCGTCACTACAGCCCCACCTACAGCGTGACTACAGCCCCACCTACAGCGTGACTACAGCCCCACCTACAGTGTGACTACAGCCTCACCTACAGCGTGACTACAGCCCCACCTACAGCGTGACTACAGCCTCACCTACAGTGTGACTACAGCCTCACCTACAGCGTCACTACAGCCTCACCTACAGCGTCACTACAGCCTCACCTACAGCATGACTACAGCCTCACCTACAGCGTCACTACAGCCTCACCTACAGCATGACTACAGCCTCACCTACTGCGTAACTACAGCCCCACCTACAGCGTGACTACAGCCTCACCTACAGCGTGACTACAGCCTCACCTACAGCGTGACTACAGCCTCACCTACAGCATCACTACAGCCTCACCTACAGCGTGACTACAGCCTCACCTACAGCGTGACTACAGCCTCACCTACAGCGTGACTACAGCCTCACCTACAGCGTCACTACAGCCCCACCTACAGCGTGACTACAGCCCCACCTACAGCGTGACTACAGCCCCACCTACAGCGTCACTACAGCCTCACCAGCAGCGTGACTACAGCCTCAACTACAGCGTGACTACAGCCTCAACTACAGCGTGACTACAGCCTCACCAACAGCGTGACTACAGCCTCACCTACAGCGTGACTACAGCCTCACCTACAGCGTGACTACAGCCTCACCTACAGCGTGACTACAGCCTCACCTACAGCGTGACTACAGCCCCACCTACAGCATCACTACAGCCTCACCAACAGCATGACTACAGCCTCAACTACAGCGTGACTACAGCCTCACCTACAGCGTGACTACAGCCTCACCTACAGCGTGACTACAGCCTCAACTACAGCGTGACTACAGCCTCACATACAGCGTGACTACAGCCTCACCAACAGCGTGACTACAGCCCCACCTACAGCGTGACTACAGCCTCAACTACAGCGTGACTACAGCCTCACCTACAGCGTCACTACAGCCTCACCTACAGCGTGACTACAGCCTCACCAACAGCGTCACTACAGCCTCACCTACAGCGTGACTACAGCCCCATCAGCAGCGTGACTACAGCCTCACCAACAGCGTCACTACAGCCCCACCTACAGCGTGACTACAGCCTCACCAAGAGCGTGGGCTAGTGAGTGAGTGAGTGAACACGCGAGTGAGCGAGCGATAGAGTGAGCTAAGATGCGAGTGAGTGAATAAGCCAGTGAGCGAGTGAGTGAGTGAGTGAACACGCGAGCGAGCGAGCGAACACGCAAGTGAGCGAGTGAGTGAGCAAGCGAGTGAGTTAGTGTGTGAGTGAGCAAGCCAGTGAGTGAGTGAGTGAACACACGAGTGAGTGAGCAAGTGAGTGAGCGAGTGAACACATGAGTGAGTGAGTGAGTGAACACGCGAGTGAGTGAGCGAGTGAACACATGAGTGAGCGAGCGAGCGAACACGCAAGTGAGCGAGTGAGTGAGCAAGCGAGTGAGTTAGTGTGTGAGTGAGCAAGCCAGTGAGTGAGTGAGTGAACACACGAGTGAGTGAGCAAGTGAGTGAGCGAGCGAGTGAGTGAGCGAGTGAACACATGAGTGAGTGAGTGAGTGAACACGCAAGTGAGCGAGCGAATGAGCGAGTGAACACACGAGTGAGTGAGTGAGCTAGTGAGTGAGTGAGTGAGCGAGTGAGTGAGTGAACACGTGAATGAGTCAGTGAGCCTCACCTACAGCGTGACTACAGCCTCACCTACAGCGTCACTACAGCCTCACCTACAGCGTGACTACAGCCTCACCTACTGCGTGACTACAGCCCCACCTACAGCGTGACTACAGCCTCACCTACAGCGTGACTACAGCCTCACCTACAGCGTGACTACAGCCTCACCTACAGCGTGACTACAGCCTCACCTACAGCGTGACTACAGCCTCACCTACAGCGTCACTACAGCCTCACCTACAGCGTGACTACAGCCTCACCTACTGCGTGACTACAGCCTCACCTACAGCGTCACTACAGCCCCACCTACAGCATCACTACAACCTCACCTACAGCGTGACTACAGCCCCACCTACAGCATCACTACAACCTCACCTACAGCGTGACTACAGCCTCACCTACAGCGTGACTACAGCCTCACCTACAGCGTGACTACAGCCTCACCTACTGCGTGACTACAGCCTCACCTACAGCATCACTACAGCCCCACCTACAGCATCACTACAGCCTCACCTACAGCGTGACTACAGCCCCACCTACAGCGTCACTACAGCCTCACCAACAGCATGACTACAGCCTCACCTACAGCGTGACTACAGCCTCACCTACAGCATGACTACAGCCCCACCTACAGCGTGACTACAGCCCCACCTACAGCGTGACTACAGCCCCACCTACAGCGTGACTACAGCCACACCTACAGCATGACTACAGCCTCACCAACAGCGTGACTACAGCCCCACCTACAGCGTGACTACAGCCTCACCTACAGCATGACTACAGCCTCACCTACAGCGTGACTACAGCCCCATCAGCAGCGTGACTACAGCCTCACCAACAGCGTCACTACAGCCCCACCTACAGCGTGACTACAGCCTCACCAAGAGCGTGGGCTAGTGAGTGAGTGAGTGAACACGCGAGTGAGCGAGCGATAGAGTGAGCTAAGATGCGAGTGAGTGAATAAGCCAGTGAGCGAGTGAGTGAGTGAGTGAACACGCGAGCGAGCGAGCGAACACGCAAGTGAGCGAGTGAGTGAGCAAGCGAGTGAGTTAGTGTGTGAGTGAGCAAGCCAGTGAGTGAGTGAGTGAACACACGAGTGAGTGAGCAAGTGAGTGAGCGAGTGAACACATGAGTGAGTGAGTGAGTGAACACGCGAGTGAGTGAGCGAGTGAACACATGAGTGAGCGAGCGAGCGAACACGCAAGTGAGCGAGTGAGTGAGCAAGCGAGTGAGTTAGTGTGTGAGTGAGCAAGCCAGTGAGTGAGTGAGTGAACACACGAGTGAGTGAGCAAGTGAGTGAGCGAGCGAGTGAGTGAGCGAGTGAACACATGAGTGAGTGAGTGAGTGAACACGCAAGTGAGCGAGCGAATGAGCGAGTGAACACACGAGTGAGTGAGTGAGCTAGTGAGTGAGTGAGTGAGCGAGTGAGTGAGTGAACACGTGAATGAGTCAGTGAGCGAGTGAGTGAGTAAGTGAGTGAGTGAGCTAACACATGAGTGAGTGAACACGTGAGTTAGTGAGTGAGTGAGTGAGCGAGCGAGTTAGCGAGCGAGTTAGTGAGTGAGTGAGCGAGTGAGTGAGTGAGCGAGCGAGTTGGCGAGTGAGTGAGTGAGCGAACACATGAGTGAGTGAACACGCGAGTTAGTGAGTGAGTGAGCGAGCGAGTTAGCGAGTGAGTGAGTGAGCGAGCGAGTGAGTGAACACACGAGTGAGTGAGCGAGCGAGTTAGCGAGTGAGTGAGTGAGCGAGCGAGTGAACACACGAGTGAGTGAGCGAGCGAGTGAGTGAGCGAGTGAGCGAGCGAGTGAGTGAACACACGAGTGAGTGAGTGAGCGAGCGAGTTAGCGAGTGAGTAAGCGAGCGAGTGAGCGAGTGAACACACGAGTGAGTGAGCGAGCGAGTGAGTGAGCGAGTGAGCGAGCGAGTGAGTGAACACACGAGTGAGCGAGCGAGCGAGTGAGTAAGCGAGCGAGTGAGCGAGTGAGCGAGCGAGTGAGTGAATACACGAGTGAGTGAGCGAGCGAGTTAGCGAGTGAGCGAGCGAGCGGGAGCAGGAACCGACTGTCGAGTTCCTCCTCGGAGCTGAGCTGGAACCCGGGTTGACGAGTCCCGGCTCGTCGGAGAGCAGCGCGATGGCCTCCACGGAGCACACGCCGGCGTTGAGCAGCGCGAGCGCGTGCTGCGCCGAGCTGTCCGCGCCGTGGCCACCGCCCCCCCAGGCCGCCGCCGCCTTGCGCCGCTTCTCCTCCGCCTCGCGGAACGCCGCCGTGCCGGGGCACCTGGCACAGACGATGGCCGCCCGGCCCCGGTGAGCGAGCGCCCGGCACGGCAACGGCACGCGGCAACGGCGGTGCCACGTGCCGCTTGCAGCACGGACCCGCGAGCGGTGAATCTATTTAGACTCAAATTTTTTTTTTTTTTCACCAGCTAAGGCCCACTGAGCTGTACGGCTCAACGAAGTGGCTCGTCGTCGTGTGGGAATTTTTAGCAGATGTCGATTCTAAACGTGGAGGGGAAAACCAGGGGACCCGGAGAAAAATCCACGGGAACACTGGCAGAGAGAGAGAGACGCAAACTACAAATATATACGGCAGGAGTCAGGGTCGGGATGGAAGCTACAAGACCTCCTGCACACCGCGGAGCAGATCCACAATTCGGGGTCGCGGTTGAACTCACGAATCGGTGAGATTTGTCGCCTCGCGTGTCGCATTGTTTGCGATTCACTACTCCGGATAATTATCAATGTCCGTTTTGTCTGCTCGATTGACACGTAATCTGCGGGATGGTTGAGGCTGCACGTCGCCAAATGCCGATGTCCTAGGGCATCGACATAGCAAGCGCCCACTAAGGCAGCAGCAGCGCAAGTGAGACGCTGGTGGTGGTGCTACTGTAATTCCGTGAGGAGAAGGAAACAAACTCGCAACTTTTTTTTCATTTCAGGGGAAAATAAAATGGCAAACGGCGAGAAATGTGAACAAAAGCGGTGGGGGAGAGATGTACGCTTAGAATTGAACCGGGGCAGTAAGAGGAACGCACGCATCGGACAATTTAAGCAATATAAAGGCATCGCGTTGAGCGTCAACGGCCGAGGCAGACGACGTAACGGAATGTGCCGTGCCCGAGGTGACCCCGAGGTGACCCCGAGAAATCGGACCACGAGGTCACGTGACGACTTGCGCAAGCCGTCATCCAGTAGCGGATAGATCACAGCTAATGACGACGATGACGATGATGACGATGATAAATGTGGCTCTCAAAGAGAGCGGTGGGGTTTACGGCTGAGATTCAGAGGCCGGTGAATATCCGGCTTAGAGGCGACACTTCGCCCCCCGCCCCCCCCCCTGCCCCCCGCTCGCCTGAACCCGCGAGAACCGGGAAAGCGCGACACGGCTCGCGATGCTGAGGCTGAGCAAACGTTCTTGCCAGAGCCGTACGTCCTGAGATGACCTCAGTGCCGTCGTCACCATCGTCCTCACCGTCACCATCACCGTCGTCACCACCGTCATCATCGTCACCATCGTCGTCACCATCGTCATCATCGTCACCATCATCGTCACCATCATCGTCATCATCATCGTCACCATCGTCACCATCGTCGTCATCATCGTCACCATCATCGTCACCACCATCGTCACCATCACCATCGTCATCATCATCATCATCGTCACCATCGTCACCATCGTCACCACCGTCACCGTCATCACCATCGTCACCATCGTCATCATCGTCACCACCATCACCACCGTCACCATCGTCATCATCATCATCGTCACCACCGTCACCACCATCACCACCGTCATCATCGTCACCATCGTCACCATCGTCACCATCGTCGTCATCGTCATCATCGTCACCACCGTCACCATCGTCATCATCATCATCGTCACCACCGTCACCACCATCACCACCATCATCATCGTCACCATCGTCACCATCGTCGTCATCGTCATCATCGTCATCATCGTCACCATCGTCGCCATCGTCATCATCGTCGTCGTCACCACCGTCACCACCGTCATCACCGTCATCACCGTCACCACCGTCACCACCGTCGTTCAAGCAGCCGCACAGTCTCCAGCACTGGCTACTGCCGAATCTCGTTGTGTTTTGGACGTAAAGTTAACGAGCACTCCTGCCGCGTGGCAGTTTGCGCGCTGCGCGACATAAACCCGGTGGCCCGAGTTCAAGTCCTGGCCATGGGTGACGCGCCGCAAGCGGGCGAGCGGTAAAAACAACCCATCTCGGAAGAACACTGGAGAACGCTGTGACATCTGTTCAAATTAGAAAATGCCGGAGGCTGTGCAGAGGCACTCGATGTAATGTGTAAGGGAGCATTTTTATTAACGTGCAATCAATTTGTATATCTCATTGTGAAGGGCATATCTAGAGTCACTGCACTGTGAACCCGGCGACTCGAGTTCCATTCTCGACCAGTGGCGAGTAATATCAGCGACGAACGAAATCTGCACTGGTCGTAGATCCACCTGCCCCCCACTCGCCGATCCCCGCGGTCTAGCGTGGTGAAGTATGGTCAAACAAGCTGCACTGTTGACATCACGTGGGGTGGGGGACCGCCTTCATCCAGCAGTGGATCGACAAATGGCAGCAAACTACTTACCACTCGATAAGTTGGATGGAAACAAGCCGCAACGCTCTACGTGACAAACCTCCCCGTCACATTCCACAACCTCCCTTGTAAACGAAACTAATTGTTTTCAACGGTGAGCTTCCTGGTTTTGATTAAGATAATGAACTCTACGGCACGAGACACACACACACATGCATGTGTGTGTGTGTAGCGGTTAGCGCGCTGCGCTATGAACCTGGCGACCCGGGTTCGATTCCCGCTCACGGCTAACACCAGTGACGATTATCTGAACCGGTACTGGGCCTCCCCTAGGTCGACTCAGCCTTAAATGAGTACCTGGTGCGGTGTGTAAACATCGCCACTGGGGAGACAAAGGCGGTCGGGCGTGGTGCTGGCCACCCACCCCCTCGTGTACCGTTCCGGCCTTCATAGGTGCTCGCTAACAGCACTTGCCCCTACAGTCTGTTAAGGCTACACGGGGGATCTTTGTGTCTCGTGCCACAGAGCGGTAGTGTAGTGATTAGTGCGCTGCGCTACGAACCCCGCGGCCCCAGTTGGATTCCTGCTCACGGCCAACACCAGTGATGATTAGAACCTGTCCTGAGCCTCCCCTCGGTCGACTCAGCCTTAATTGAGCACCTGGTGCGATGTGTAAAAACATTGCCATAGGGAGACAAAGGCGGCCAACCAAACCCTCATGTGCCGTTCCGGCCTTCAGATGTGCTCGCTAACAGCACTTGCCCCAACAGTCTGTGAAGGCTGTACGGGGAACCTTTATCTCTTTTTGGCACCTTTACCAATTAATTCCTAAACGTGACATCGGCATCGGGACAATGGCAACGACGAATCCCTTCGGAAATCTCGGGGGGCCGCGTGACCCCCCCCCCACTCCGCAGCGATGGCAAAGAGCGGCACGAGACACTGCCCAGGGGACTCCTTACAGAATGGAAACTAAGTGACCCTTAGTTTCCATTGCCCAGTCGGGGGGGGTCTTTGCGTGCCCATGCACTCCACTGCTGCGAGATTGTGGCACGACCAACAAACCGGTATCCTTCATTCCCAAGAGCCGGAAATGAGACGAATTAACCGCAGAAGTAAATACATCGAAGCGGAGCGCGATGGAGTTGTACGGCGGTCAGCGCGCTGCGCTACCGGCAAAGACCCAATTCCCGCTCAGGAACAAACACCACCAGTGGCGATTATCTGAACCGGTCCTGGGTCTCCCCTAGGTCGACTCAGCCTCAAATGAGGACCTGGCGCGGTGTGTAAACATCGCCACTGGGGAGACAAAGGCGGCCGGGCGTGGAGCTGGCCACCCACCCCCTTTGTGTGCAGTGCCGGCCTTCATAGGTGCTAGGTAACAGCACTTGCCCCTACAGTCTGTTAAGGCTATACGGGGTATATTTGTATTCTTTGGGTCTTTCGGTAAAGCCACATAGATAGAAAAATAATCAAATAAATAAAATAATAAAAATATCACGACGTTTCGATCGCAACACAAGCAATCGTCATCAGGTGAAAACTATCGCGGGAGAGCTGCTGAGGCAGGAGAAATACATGGCGTGAGCGCTGCTAAGGCGCAGGGAGTTATAAAGGTTTGAGATGGGTGTAGCCCAAGGGTGAGTGGGTGGGACTAGAGATGAAATTTGCATGTAAATGTAAGCTCGGGAGAAATCGTGACAAACGAAGCTGTGGGGGTGGCCATTGTATTGTGAGAGACTAGCATGCAACACGCCTGGCTGTGATGTTACCTAGTAAAAAATTAACCCGTAAAAACTAAGTTTTTCACTATAAATCCTTTATATGCGTGACATCGGTTTTATTTTATTATTCATTTCTGTTTTTCTTGAGTAAGAGTTTCATTTGTATCACATTGGTATTTTAAATTAAATATGAATTTTTTTTTTCCTAAAAAGTGGAAAATTTTGGAAAAAAAATTTCACGAAAATAAATTGTCACGCACAACGAGTCTGTGTGCAAAATGTCAGCTCGATTGGATCACGGGAAGTGGGTTAAAAAACGACCGAAAGATTTGCACGGTCGTAAGCGCGCAAGCGCGCAAGCAAGTGAACTTAATATAAAGGATTTAAAAATAAAAAAAATTGTTCTAGTTTTTTGTTTATAGGTGGCGGAAGCCTGGATTTAAACCCAGGATGTCAGTGGCATAACCTCAGCCCTCTGAGCCACCCCGGGGTCACCTCCCAGGGCGCCGATTTTTACTGCCATGAAAACAGCAATTACCTCCCACCTCGAAGAAGGCACATCGGTCGATGCGAAAGCACAGCCAAAATTAATTACGGATGTATGTTGAACTTATTTTGCACCATACGTGGCCAACCGTTGCTAACCGGATTTGTGGGAGGAAAGACAACAAACTGAAAACAAAAAGCACTTCTCAAGAAATGAGTTTTCAAACTAGACAATACAAAAAAAAATTGCGTAACTCCAGTGGCTTCCTAATATCGGCAGGAAGAGCGTTCCAGACGGCCGCAGAAGCGCATCTGAAAGCGCCGCGCGATGCGGCGACCGTGTTTGTTCGATGGCCGGCAAAAAGCCGCTTCTGCCGCGAGGATGACCGGAGTTTGCGTGACGGCTTGTGCTCCTTGACAGGCTTACGACCATTTCCCTGCTTAAAACGGCGACTCCGAGCTAACGGTAGAAATTCCACATTACTGAGACGTTGGGGGGGTG